GCAGGGGCGCTGCCTGGAACGTGGGACCCCCACAGGCAGAGCTGAGGCGCCCTGCACAGGTGTCTGTGCGCCAACCGCAAGGGCCAGCATTTCCTGGCCAAGCGCACCAGGTGCGCTCACGTGTCCCTCACTCCACTCCACTGCACGGGAGACGCCAAGGCGCAGAGCGGGGCGCACCCTGGGGGGCGGTCGGCCGTGCTGCCCAGGGTTTCCCGGGCCACACAGGAGTCTGCAGCAGATCCCCGCCCGGGGCTTCTCCTGAGAATGCTCTGCTTGTGGGCGGAGGGCAGAGGGCGGGTGCCCACCCAGGAGAGCTGGGAGGGGAGCTGGCGAGGGGGCAGGCCGAGCGGTCGGTCAAGAACAAGTTCATCTGAATTTGTGTGCAGTGTCCGAGGGCACCCAAGCGACAGTCCAGTGACGGGCTCTACCTCAGAAGAAAAACCCGTTCCTACATGTGCCGTGGCCACAACGAGCTTTCCCAACACGGTCACACAGCTGTGCCTGGCCGTGCGCCGGGAGACTGACGGCCGACAGGGCGGCACGGGCCGCACCCTGCGTCAGTGCCACCACGCAGCTCGGTGAGCCAAGTGACGCCTCGAGGACACTGAACGCCGCTCTGTCTTTCACTCATCAGAAGCCCTGAAGAAAGTGTATGCGATTTCAAAACTGGAAGCCACAAAGAAATGTCCCCTACATGCCAGAGAGACCAACGAAAGGCCTGTGAGGACAGGCGTCTGGTGAACCTGCCCCGCGGCCTGTCCGAGAAGAAACAGCCGCCAGGGGCCTCGTGTTCGCGGGCTGCGTGGGGCGTCCCCGGCAGTCACAACAAACTCAAACAGGGTAAGAAGGCAACGCGACATGACGGCTAACAAGCGAACATCATTTGCAACAACTAATTTGCTTAAATGACATTGCTGGTCGATAATACAGGTCTGCCACAGCCTTAGAAACAGCACAGTCCAGTGCCAAAGTGCCGCCAGGCAGCCAGCACGAGGGGTCTCCTGTCACGCTCCAGGGGCCAAGGCCAGCCAGGGACAAGCCTGGAACCAGAGGGCCTGGGCTCTAATCACGGACTCCCTGTTTACCAACAGCACGGCTTCGGGGAAGTTGCAGAAGGTCCCTGAGCTCGTCTCCACCCACACATGGGGAGACGGACCGTCCTTCGCGGGGCGATGTGAGGAGGACAGGAGATGTAAGAACCTAGAATTAAGTGTCTCTCACACACACACGAGACAGTGCAGGGAACTTGGAGGGAATGGACGTGTTTACACATGGATTGTGGCGATGGATTCATGGGCGTACTTACCTCTGAACTCAACTCGTATACATGAAACGCGTATGGCTTTTCGTAGACCATACCTCAAAAAAGTGGCTAAAAAAACAGAATAACCTAGAACAATGTCAGTGACACAGTGGACTTTCAATAATTAAGTCTCACTCTTGCCCCAAAAGTAGTGTCTTTGTCTTTAAGAAAACTGCTCATATTCAGAGGAAATTCACTCCCCCATTGAATTAAACAGCTATTGTCTACCAGGGCCACCGAGGACAGATGCACAGGCTGCCCCCTGCTGAGGGGAGGGTGGGGGTTCAGCCCAGGACCACACATCAAGCTGGGTGCCCTGGCCTCTCTCTCTGATGTGCACGAAGGTGCCACACAGCTCATGGGCCTGGCGTCTGACTCAGAGATGGTGAACTCGGGCTTTGCCCACTTTGTGTCCGATGGGGAAGCGGACAAGCAAGCAAGAATTCCAATGCACGTCATCGATGCCACTGCAGGGAAGGGACGCAGGAGAGAGACGTTTACATTAGAGGGGCAAGGACCCGTGCTTTACAGGATGGGGACTGCGGAGAAGCATGCACAGGCCGAGGAGGGACATTCAGTTGTTTACCCACGTACTCCTTCGGCAAACATGACTGAGCATCTGCTCCGGCACTGAGCATAAAGCAGAACCTCCTCTCTGAGTTGTAACAGACAAGAACTGAGCTAGAGAAAGGTCAGGTCGTGCGGTGAGCTTCCAGGAGAATGACTCAGGCGTGTGGCGGTGGCTGGGGGAAGGGGTGACCTTGGCATGCAGTGTGGGGGTGCCTCCCAGGGAGATCTGAATGGCAGCTGGGGGAGCTCAGGAGCTACCACATCAGGCAGAGAGAGGAGCTGCTGCAGAAAGTCTTAGGGGGATGAACTCTGTACTTCGGGTTGGCTGAGCCTGAAGAGCGGGGGAGGAGAGGGGCACGGGAGGAGATGAGGTGGAAGGTAGGCAGTGCCAACCCTGTGCGAGGCCCAGAAGCTTGAGCACGGTGGACTCCGAGACCTTCAAGGGGTTCCAGGAGGCAGAAGGAGGGGCTGTGTTGCTAGCTGGCGGGAGGTGAGTCTTGGCCGGAGGACCTGGACACATTTACTTCTTACTGCCACGTGAAGAGCCCTCAGGAAGCCACGACTAAAGTCACTGAAAGAAATCCTTTCGTTTGCCTTCAAGGGAGGTTCGAGTACAGTCTTACCTGTGTTACTTGTTCTTGAACCGAAGTCCTCGTTATGAACACTCCATGAGAGGTTAACCCTCTTCCCGAGTGTCCACACATTCAGATGCATGTGAAATTCACTCTTGCGGCATCTGAAAATGCTGACCATGATGCTAACATCCGCGAGGTGGGATGTCCAACTGAGTAGGTTGTGTTTTATAGGAGGACTCCTCTTCCTACGAGGTGAGAAGCACCACATGATGTCAGGGGGGAAGAAATACGTGCTATTCACTTGAGCCCAGGAGAACTTTGCCTCACAGTCCACGAGGTGGACACAGCTCATTGCCTGCCTTACATCCATGGTCTCCCCTTCATTCTTATCGATAGAACCTCAGATTGGATCATCAATGAGCCCAACTCAAACGACTTGTCTTCTAGACGCCCTTGTGGAGAGGAGTCATCAGGTGACAGGTCTGGCCGATGTGAGGTGGACAGAAGGCCCTGGGGAAGGTGTTCTTTCCTGGAAAAGAGGCAAAGCCTGGCTGGGAGAAGCCTTTGTCCTGTTCCCCTGACCTCCTCGTATTGCTCGTTATCTGGTGACTCCGTGTTGTTGGGAGTCTTCTACTTTCTTCAAATGTGTTGCAAAACCAATATGTTGAATTAAGGACCACTGTCCTTCGAGGTCTATGGCTACATCTTTCTGTATTTGTACTGATCTGGAGCGAAACTGTAGACATAAAAATACAGTTGCAATGACTTTATCAAAAGTAGCTCAGGGTTCACCATACGGAAAGTAACATTCCATTTGTGTAACCCTTCGCAGGGCCCAGGAAAATCTCATCAAGAAGTATTTTTGAAACGTTCCTTTGACACATACTAGCTAGAGTTGCAAAGATCACACTTTTTTATGTGCTATGAGGGACAGAGATGACAACAAGGTTCTTATTCTCAGGGAGTTCACAATTTCATGAGCTGACAGATGTGTTTACGAATTAATGTAAAACCAGTAGGTACATGATGTGGTAGGTCAGAAAAGCCTCCGAGCGGCCATGATCGGATGCAGAGAAAAGGACTGTGCCCCCAATGCAGGCAAAGCACAAGTTTCAAGGCCTGGAACCCGGACAGTAAGCCTGGCTGACGAGGCTCTCAGAGTAGCACAATTGTTGCCTAAGTTGCTTCTGGATGATAACGAGCCTGGAGTGATCAAATGGTTCTATACTCCTCCGGCCGAGAGTCATCTCACTCAGGGGCGGGGGCACAAGGGACACAGTGAGAACCCTGTCCCCTGGCCTGCATCCTTATCTGGTTCACTCCCTCTGTGCAGTTTACTTGCTGCTTCAGGGTTAAATAAAGCTAGAGCAACGCGGAGATGCTGCCCTTTGAACAGCATCTTTGAACAGGCCGTGTGGCCTGCGCGGATGTAATAAGTGCCATTAGGGTGTTACAGGGAGTTTTAAGAGTTGTGAGGAGGAAGAAACAACTCTGGAGGCTTCATGGAGGAGGTGGCGTCTGAGCAACATCTTGAGAGATGAATAACTTTTTGCAAGGTGAGGCTGGAAGGAAGGACAGACAAGAATGGGACAACGTGAGTGATGCACTGCGGGAGGAGAGCGGAGCTGTGTACTGGGCATGGAGCGGGTGCAGGGTGGCTGAAGGCAGGGCGTGTTGGGGGAAACAGCGAGACCGGGCTGCAAAGGGTGTCCGTCCAGGCCAGCCTAAGGGATTGGCACTCAGTACACTGGTAAGGGAACCAAGGGAGGCTTTCAAGCAACTATCACAGCATGTGAATTAGTGACATGAATCTGGCAACATCATCACGCCCGACGTTGGTGACATAACTGGGAGATCCCTTAAAATGTCCAGGCACCAACTGAGGCCATGTGTGGTGGGAGAACAGGACTTGAGTTTTTCTATACAACTGACTGTTCGGGGGGAGGGGGGTGCTCTGCAGAGAGGGGAGCCACGGATGAACTTGAGATTTTGAATCTGGTCACGTGGGAGAACAGCAGTACTGGGAACACAGAGAGGGAAGACGGGAAGAGGGCTGAGGGGCACTGGCACCTCCGGCTGCCAAAGTGCCACAGGCAGTTGAGAAGAAAATGAGAGAAGGAACTCAGGAGAGAGGTGGGGTGAAGGGGCAAGTCACCTACACCAGGTGAGTCAGTGAGTTTGTTCCGTGGTAAGCCTAACAACACGAATGTAAATAACAGGTCCTAAATACAGGACACGTTCAGCAAAAAGGACAGAGATCTCGGAGCACCTTGGGGGGAGGGACAGGCAAACGACAAAACACTCCGGTTATGGGTCATTACAGCTCACGTCTGTTTTAGCAGCTGTCAAGTTCCCAGAAACTAACCCTGAGCCCGACCTAACTGGCAGGTAAAACGTGTGACACCTGCATCGCCAGGTCTTTCTGGTCTAGAATACGAGAAAGACACGAAGTGCACGTTAAGCACACGAACTGCAGGTTAAGCCACCTTTTTATTTTTGGGAGGCGGAGGGCCCACAGCCCCGAACCACACTCCATTCGAGATACGTGAGGGCGCTCGCTGCCCTAACTCGACGCGACAACCCTAGGAAGTGCGGCCAAGGCGGGCAGGGCCGCCCCCGGGCTGGGCCGCGGGGCAGTGGGGAAAAGGTGAAGGGGAACGCGAGCTGCTGCCGGGAGCGGGCCAGCTGACTGCGTAGCTCCCCCGGGGCGGCTGGCTGCCGTCACCGCCCGTTCCCGCCCCATTGCTCAGCGCCGCGGCCGGCGCCAAGCCCTTCCAGGCCGGGCCCGCCCGGAAGCAGAGGCGGGGTCACCAGGCCGGAGCCAGGGCGCGGAAAGCCGGTTGGGAGGAGCCGGGACGGCCCCCGCTGAATGTACTCCATTTCCCAGCGGCCAGTGCGGCCACGGAGACGGGCTCCGGGCGCGCCGCGGAGACACCTGAGGCCGGGAATTGTAGTCCGCGTCCGTCGGCCGCGCCGACTGGGCTCCGGCGGGGAGAGGCCCGGGGATTGGCTGCTGAGAGTTCGAGTCCCGCCCCCAGATGGTGACAACAGGCGGCGGTCTTGCTACTTAAGGCGCCGTGGCCGCGTCCGCCCCGCCTTAGCTCCCGCGCTAGAGAGAAACATGTATCGTTTCCGATCACAGCTCTTCACGGGGATTTCTGCAGCCGCCAGCGCCCACTCTTACCCCCGCCGCTTCTCGCCCCTGTTGTTAGCCGAAGCCTCGCCTCTCAGCCGCCCGCCGCACAGACGCACGAGTAAAAAGTGCAGCTCCATCGGCTGATCCTCGCTGAGCTCCGAGTCTGGGCGGCACCGGGCGTCCCACGATGCCGAAGAACAAGAAGCGGAACACTGCCCACCGCGGTGGCAGTGGTGGTGGCGGCGGCTCAGGGGCAGCTGCAGCGACGGCGGCGACAGCAGGTAAGAGGGTGTCCCAGCCGCCGGTAGCCCGGTTGCCGGCCGGGCTAGGGAGGCTTTTCGCCTGGGGCACGATGGGAGTTGTAGTTCTTTCTCGCCCGACGTGTGCGTCGGCCGGGCGCCTGGCCGGGCTGGCGAACTACAATCCCCAGCGTCCTCTGCGGGCCGCACCTCGCGCGATTTGGATCTGGCATGCGGACCGAACTCTTGGGCACTAGCGGTGGGGGCGGGGAGGAGGCGAATGGGTCCCTGGGCTGGAGAGTGGATTGGGGTCCGGGTGGCGCGGGGCTGGGCAGGGGGAACTGTCCTCACCGGCCGGTGACGGCTCTCGAGCTCCCCCTGACCACGAGTGGGGCAGAGCTGGGAGTTGCGTCCGCGCTGTCACTGGTCGCCTTTGATCGCCTGCTCCAACATGGAGTTCTCGGGAGAGCCAAACGTCTGCCGGGTTTGGACCGGCTCTTGTGTCACGCGGCCGGGGTGACGCAGAGGCGCCCGAGTGGCGTCCCGCGTGCCCACCTGGCCAGGCGGAGGCGGTGGAGCTTGGGGACCACTGTCCCGGCGCAGGCTTTGCTCCGACCCCTCGCTGGCACCTGCAGAAACCCCGGCCCCCCGCTCCATGGCGACCAGTGGGGGCGACCTCCCGGTCCCCGGGGCAGGAACCACGTTCTCTTTGTGCTATAGGTTCTCTGCTATGAGCCCACGATGGGCGGTGGTGGGGAGCTCAGGTTGCAATTGGCCAAAAGTTTAGTTTTGTGTGTGTGTCCTCGCTGCAAAGTTTGAAGCTTTTCCAGGATGGGTAGGTGCTTAACTAATTCATGACTCTCTACTACTAATTACACAGTTAAGACAAACGGACTTCAAGCAGAAAACCCCACGAGACACCACACTAAACTCAAATAGACTATTAAAGCAAACTGGGCAAAATCATCTCATTTAGTAATCGTGTTGAGATTTTGAAGTTAAGTATTGGAATATCCTCAGACTAGCACATCGGAAATGCTTCTAGTCACTAGGTATTTATCAACACAGTTGCCACTGGGATCCTCAGAATGATATACTTTCAATGCCAGTCTTCTTGTTAGAGGTGATTGGACACTGGCATTTTAAAAGCTTTCCTATAGGATTTCTAGCAGCACGAAAACTTGTGATCATGTTCTAATCATTTACTAATTGACAATAGGACTGGGTTATATAAATGCAATTTTTTTTTTATTCTTTCCTTTTCTCCCTCTCGCTCCTTATTTTGATTGGATGCTCTTGATGTTCCTGAAGTTCATTCTTGATCGTCAAAGTGTCAAATACATAATTAGTTTGTTGTGGCATCTGGTTGCTCTGTGTGCATTGAGGATACTTCTTTACCTTTCTGCGCTTCAGCTTTTCATTCTGCTTAGAAGGTCCTTATTAATTTGACTCTTTAAGTTTGCCTTTTGTTGATGAAACAATGAAGCAGCAGCAAGCTGAACCATTTGAATACTGTAATGTTGCTAATGGACTCCTTGAATCACAAACAAAACCTGGATTCCCTTCTGGAGCTTCCTGCTGGGCCTCCTTCCTTCCTGGTACTTAGCAGAATAGCCTCACTAGGTGCTGGAAGATGGCTTTTAATTCTTGCCTTACTCTTGGCCTCTTACCAGCCTCATTCATGCTGCTGCCTTTTCGATTATTTTCAATAGAGGAGGTGTATTTAAACCCAGTATTTTAGCCTATGTAAGGCATTGGAAACTACTTTGATTAAACTTAACATGCTTCGAATATCTGGAAGTTTACACAGGAACTTGCTAACTCTGCCTCTGGAGAGTGGGATGTGGGGTGAGGTTTACCTTTTTTAAAACCTTAATGTGGTTTTTGCCCTGGCCGTTTTAGGTCAGCAGTTAGACCGTTGGCCCAAGAACCAAAGAGTCTCCGGTTCAATTCCAGCTAAGGGCACGTATCTTGGTTGCAGTTTGGTCCCCAGCCCTGGTCAGGGTCAGGCAGGAGGCAACCAATTGATGTGTCCTCTCACATCAGTGTTTCTCTCTCTCTCTCTCCCTCCTTCCCACTCTATCTGAAAATAAATGGGAAAAAAAATTAAAAAATAAATTTTTTTAAATAAATAAATAAAACCTTAATTTGGTTCCATGTGAACCAAATTACTTATGTGTACTATTTATTTGGTAAATGAGTGCATAATAGTCGAGTAGAAGAGATGGAAAATTGTCACACTTATACCTACAAGCCCCTTACCTTATTGATCTTTTTAAAGGACATCTAGAAGTAATGGGGTCCAAACAAGATCTTCGCATGTACACCCAAAAGATAACCAACTTCTGTTGCTTTAATGGGTTTTCCATTTAAATTATTTTCTAAGTTAGCAGAGGGCTCCAAGGAAGTGAATGAAACTGATCTGGTACGAAGGTGTGGGTACTTGTAATAGCACTTAATTTGAAGAGAGCATTTTTAGAGAAGAACAAACCCTTGTTAGTAAGTAAGCCCTCTACGAAATAAGGATGTCTTGTCTGGAGTTTTCCACCTCATTGATGGCACTCAGGATCACAAGTTGGATGAGTCTGACTTAGACGTTAGGCATTCATACAGGGCTCTTTTTCTTGATTTTTTTTTTGTATATAATATAATCTCTCTTTCCTTTAAGTCTTGGGAAATCATTGAAACTTAGAGAAGGGAGCTTAGTTAAATCCTGCATGGGAATAGTCTTCTTGACAGTTTAGAAATAGGCTGAATATGAAAATTGTAAATTGATTGGTGAATCAGTGTTAGTAAAAGTTAATCAGGTGACTCAACTGTTACCATGACTTCAAATCATGAAAACAAATGAAGCTAGATCCAGAAATAGAGAGTGATGTCATAGATCTTTGTTTATTGGTTTATTCTTGTCCTAAGCACTCTAAGAAGTGTTGAGGTCTTGGCTTCATTGCTAATTTTTTATGATTTGCTGCTCTGATTGGCACTGTTTCCCCCCTTTCGGATAGCAAGCAGACACGGAGATTGCTTACTTCCTTTGCTGACATAAAAATCTGCTAAGTTCTCTCTGTTTTGAATTAAAAAAATAAAAGACAACTCCCATTTAAAAATAACCCAACAACAACAGACTTAAAATTAGAGGATTTTTTAAAACCTTACCTTACAGTAGTAAATGTCACAGATTTCTTGAATTTAGGGGTCTAGAGGTAAATCAGGTGACTCAAGGTCATTTTTCGGCAGAATTTGGGACTTATTTGAACTCATTGCTCAGTGCAGTTTATAATTGGGCACTCCTGTTATTAATATGAAATTCCTTCCAAAGTGACTGGGGATACAGATTTATTATTTAGGTTAATGAAGCTGACAGAAAGATTCTAGTTTTAAAAAGGAAATATTATTTTTTAGCAACAGTATATTTTTAAACCGTTGCTTATGGTAGAACCTTTGTTTTACAGGTAATTTATCTAACAGACGGTATCAAATACCAAAACTTTCATTTTAAGCCTTTTTCCCCCTCTCAATTCAGGTTATCTATAAAACTACCATCCTGTAACTCCTAAATTCCTTCACAGAAGACATAAACGAACCTAAAAACGAACCCATTTGCCAGTTAATGTTACTTAAGCCCAGTCATACGTGTTGGGAAATATATTTGTCTTAGTCTCATGATGACCTATGATATCATGCTTCATTTCTGTATCTGTTTCCATTGTCTCCTGGTTTGAAGTCGTGGCTTAGAAGCAGTTTTCCCGCCTGGAATGACATTTTCTGTAAAATAAGTTTTGGGTTTTTATGACTGGACTTCCCTAAAGTAAATACTAAAATTCCCTAGTTAGATGCTTGCATCTGTGGCTACAAACTCATGTACCTCCTCCTCCGTTTACCTCCCAGGTGGCCAGCATCGGAATGTTCAGCCGTTCAGTGATGAGGACGCGTCCATTGAGACCATGAGCCACTGCAGTGGTTACAGCGATCCTTCCAGTTTTGCTGAAGATGGTATGACTGTTACATTCGATTGGCAGCTTGAAAAGGATGCTTGCAGGGAGGAGTTCTTGTAGCCAGGGTGTACTAGTCCTGTTCCCTGTCTGCTTTCCCCCCACTTACATGACAGTGGTTGGTTGCTTTCTGTCCTTCAGGACCAGAAGTCCTTGATGAGGAAGGAAGTCAAGAAGACTTGGAGTACAAGTTGAAGGGGTTCATTGACCTGACCCTGGATAAGAGGTAGGAGACACTGGAGGTGCTCTTCATTCTGGGTCTTCCGTCAGCCCCCTTCTCTGCGTGACGTGTGCAGTTCTTGATTTAACAGTGTGGTTTTCTAAACGCTTGATTTGTTTATTTTGAATGTTTAAAAGTTTCTTGTTTCTTTGGACTTTTTTTTTCTTTATTGATTTTTAGCAAGAGGAAAGGAGAGGGAGAGAGACAGAAACATCGATGAGAGAACATCGATTGGCCGCCTCCTGCATGCCCCACACTGGGGATTGGACCCACCACCTGGGCATGTGCCCTGACTGGGGGCCTCCTGGTGCATGGGTCGACGCCCAACCACTGAGCCACACCAGCCAGGCTCTTTGGACTTTTGATGTGAATAGAAACAATGCCTTAGAATTTAGATTAATGGACTCAGATTAGTCATTGCTCTAGCATAATAGCATGTAACTGCATTTGATGATAGCTGAGATGGATTTGTTTAATTAAAAGTTAATGTTCAGCCCTGGTCGGTTTGGCTCAGCAGTTAGAGTGTTGTCCTTCAGGCCAGAGAGTGGCAGGTTTGATTCCGGTCAAGGGCATGTACCTGGCTTGCAGATTCCATCTCTGTCCCTGATCGGGGTTGTGTGGGAGGCAACCAATGGATATATTTCTCTCTCTCCCGCCTCCCTCCCTTCCACTTTCTCTAAAAATCAATGGAAAATATCCTTGAGTGAGGGTTAACCAAAAAAAAGTTAATGTTCAACTAGAAAGGACAGCTAAACTTCCCTTTAAGCCTCTTGTTCACAGTTTTGTTACAGAGTGAAGAATATCAACGCTACGTTGTTTTCTTCCTTCCCGGAAGCTCATTTAAAACAAATGGAATTAAAAAGCCCAGAAGATGAAACACAAACTCTAGACTTTTGTAATGTTAAAAAATAATAATAATAAGAGTTTACTTTAAATGTAGGCAGTATTTATGTAATGTGTAATGTAGGAGAAGGTCTGCACGTTGAAACTACAGAATACAATGTAGTCATTTACAGCTGTGGTTTGAAACAGAAAGCAGCATAGAATCTTTAGTGTAATAAGGTGAGTTGTAGCTGAAAATTGAAAAAGTGTTTCGAGCTCGATGACAGGTTTAAAAAATCTATAAAGAGAAAGCGTGAGGCGGAAATACGCCAAGCTTTGAGTCCTCGACAGTGCGCTCCAACCGGACCTTCTTTCTCTTGCGTTTGCTTTCAACAGCGCGAAGACCAGGCAGGCAGCCCTCGAGGGTCTTAAGAATGCACTGGCTTCCAAACTGTTTCCCGAATTCATTCTGGAAAGAAGAATGACCTTGACTGACAGCATTGAGCGCTGCCTGAAAAAAGGTGCGGTCCTGATGCGCGGGGGCGGGGTGGGGCGGGGCGGGTCCGGGGGTGCTGGCAGGGCCTGGCCGCCAGCTCCTGCAGCCTGGCTGGCAGCTGCACTGAGGACTGCCTCGCCCTGGCGGCTGTCACTTCAGGGACACGTGTGCTTGTTAAACTCGGGTCAGGCCCCTTAGGAGCTTTGTTTTGTTTATGCAGCAAACAGCCTGAAACTAAGACGGATTGGGGTGTTCGTCATCCTTTGTTGTATCAGACCAGGGGATCGCGTTGTCATGGATATGAGAAAGGCTTGAAAGCGTGTGCCAGATGTCAACAAGAAGTCGTGTTAAAAAAGCCATTCTTGCCCTGGCCAGTTTGGCTCAGCGGTTAGAGCGTCGGCCTGCGGTCCAGAGAGACCCGGGTACGGTTCCCGCTCAGGGCACGTACCTCGGTTGCAGTTTGTCCCCGGCCCTGGTTGGTTATGAGGGTGGCAGCCACTCGATGTGTCCCTTTCACATCGATGTTACTCTCTCTCTTTTCCTCTCTCTCCCTCCCACTTTGTCTGAACAAAAAATGGAAAAATGTCCTCAGGTGAGAATTTAAAAAAAAAAAAAGCCGTTCTTATTTTTCTCAAAAAGAAAAAGTATCATAATTTTCTTGCTCATTTCCCTTCTACTTATTAAAACAACCAGACCTGTGCCTGACACCATTTTTAGGATATCCCTTGGAATATTTGAATTCTAGATCTTTGGATGATAGAGATTCTAGAATTCATATTGTTATAATTGTAGAACTTTTAAGAATAAAGAAAGGCCTTAAAGACTAAGTCTGGTATTACCAGACTTTTCAGTTTTAGGAACCACCAAAATTAACAAGATTTGGGGCTGCCACCTTAATTATTTTGCCAAGTAAGAACGTTTGAAAATAATTACCTTCTGTTATCATGGCTTTATTAAAATGTTTCCAGCAGTAAGCATGTAGGGAGCACACGTGTCCCTTTATGATGAGTGAGATTCACTGTCCATCCTTGTTCTGTTTTGCCCTGGTGAAGTGTGGTCATGCGGTGTGTGCTTTGTCTGAACCAGCTCTCATGGTGCAGAATGAAGGAAGCCTGGGACAGGAGACCACTCAAGTTATAGACCTTTTTTTTTTTCTCCCTTTATTGATGTTTTAGAAAGGAAGGGAGAGGGAGAGAGATAGAAACACTGATAGGAGAGAACATCAATTGGCCACCTCCTGCACGCCCCCTACTGGGGATCGGGCCCACAACCTGGGCATGTGCCCTGACCAGGAATCGAACCGGCGACCTCTTGGTGCAGGGGTCGACGCTCAGCCACTGAGCCACACCCGCTGGGCAAGTTATAGTGCTGTCACTGGTAGCAGAGCCAACTTTTGTGACATACTGTAATGGCTTTGTTAAAGGTGTTTCCATGGAAACCGTCTCCTGTAAGGTAGTTGGCTTAGGTGGCTTTTAAAAATTCCATTCCAACCTGCATATTTTACAGTTTTAATTTGTCAGGTAAACCTGAGTTCACTCTGCCCACATCTTTCAATGCGTACAGTTCTCAGAAGAGTTCATTTACATGTACCTGTGCATTGATATATTTTTGTGGTCTTAAAGGGTGTTTTATTTTTCATCTCTCATGGGGGGCACCCTGAGGTTCAGTGCACCTGGGCTGTGTGCACCTGAGATGCGGGGAGAGGAGTCGGGCAGGCGCCCCGTCTGTCAGTGCAGGAGGGTTTGGAAGACCACGTGGCTTTAAAGGCCGTATTTTCTGCAGGTTCCAGTCCTCAGGATAGCTGTTGGGGTGGGTTTTACAGGGGGGTCTGTTTCAGGCGAGGGGCTCGTTGGACATCACGTGGCTAACTGGCGGGTCTAGGATTCGAGCGAGGTGTGTGTCCAGAGTTTGGCTCCTGAGTCACTAGGTTACAGCTCATGCCCAGGCCTGGCGCAGGTCCTGGGCGTGTGGGCTCCATCGGGCTGGGCGGTTGGGGAACCGCTGCTGGGGGTCACTGATCAGCCCGTCACAGCTGCCTCCCGCGTCCCGCAGGGAAGAGCGACGAGCAGCGCGCAGCCGCCGCCCTGGCGTCCGTTCTCTGTGTGCAGCTGGGCCCCGGCATGGAGAGTGAAGAGGCGCTGAAGACCCTCGGACCCGCCCTGAAGAAAATCATCTGCGATGGGACCGCTAGTGCCCAGGCCAGACAGACGGTCAGTCTGCGGGCTCTGAGTTGCTGTGGTGTCTGGGCACGACGCGCGGGCGTGGGGGCGGTGGCGTGGAGGCCAGCCCTGGGGTCCCGGGGGCAGCGTGGAGGAGAGGGGAGCGGGCACAGTGGCTCTCACAAGGCCCGCTTCCTGTGTGCGTGCTGACTGTCAGCCACGTGCCTGCAGGGCCGGCCCATCCGTGTGGCAGCGGACTGTCCAGTGTCCTGCTGTGAGTGTTTCGCCGGGCGAGCTTCGCCTCACTGGTCTTGAGGTTCACTCACTTCAGCCCCCTTTTTCCACAAAAGGCAGTTACGGGATCCCCAGCCTCTCAAATACGTAAACTGAATGAATGAAATGCTTCTTTAGGTGAGAAGTTTAAGGATGAAGATTTACATTTTATGAGATTTCTGTTCTGGTTGCTTATTTCTTGGAAGATAACTTTTTTTTAATCCTCACCCGAGGACATTTTTTCATTTTTTGTTCACATAGAGTGGGAAGGAGGGAGAGAGAGAGAAACATCGACGTGAAAGGGACACATCGAGTGGCTGCCACCCACACGACCCAACCAGGGCCGGGGATAAACTACAACCGAGATACGTGCCCTTAGCGGGAACCGAACCCGGGTCTCTCTGGACCGCAGGCCAATGCTCTAACCGCTGAGCCAAACCGGCCAGGGCAGAAGATAACTTTTTTTTTAGAAGTTTTCATAGTAGACTACATCAAAACAAATGAATGTGATGATTTTAAAAGCTTAAACACCTGTAGCAAACCTAATGCTTTAAAGGTTCTTAATAGGGAGAGTTTTCTTTAACCCAAGTGTCCGAGCCTCGTGCGCCGGAGCCGGGGTTTGCAGCGATGAGGCGGGCAGGCGGGGGCACACGGCCACTTCTGACCTGTGCCGCGCCTGGCGTGGTGGCGTGGTTGAGGACACGTTCCATTGAGCCATGAAGATGCAGCGCTAATGAGAAGTGTCGGACGTTAATGTCTTTTTTTCTGCATTTTTCCAGTGTGCCACCTGCTTCGGTGTCTGCTCTTTCATCGCCACGGATGACGTCACTGTGAGTAGAAAGCCCCTGACTGCAGTTACCTTCCCGTGTCCGAGGGCAGGCGCTCATCTTGTGGCCTGTTGTTCCGCTGTAGGAGCTGTGCTCAGCTCTGGAGTGTTTGGAAAACGTCTTCACCAAGTCCGGGCTCAGAGAGAAGGACACGAGCGTCATTGGCAGCAGCCCTGCCCCGGGGCTTTGCGTCAGCTCGCTGCTCTCCTGGACGTTGCTGCTGACCATCTGCCCCGTCAGGGAGCTGAAGGCAAAGCTGGAGATGTATGCGCTTTCGGTCCTGTCTTATAAAAGCATTTATTGACGTAGTTGTTTGTGTTCACATAGCAATGACGACGTATTTTCTAGGCATTTCCATAAACTTCCACGCTTCCTGTCTTCTGATGATGTGAACATGAGAATGGCGGCCGGGGAGTCTCTGGCGCTTCTGTTCGAACTGGCCCGGGAAATGGAGAGTGTAAGTGTCCGAGGGTCACGGGGTCGCTGTTCTGCCGTCACCCTCACGGCGCCGCGTTGGGTGGGAACTGGAGCCTGGCCTGGTGGGGACCTGGGGACTGATCGCCGCGTCGGGGCAGCAGCGATGCAGGACTTCCAACAGCCGAAGCCGTGGGTTGGTAGACAGCAGAGCAGCGTTGGGATGGATGGAGTCCGCTACACTCAATGCACCAGGGCAGGGCTCTGGACTACACGGGAAACTGGTGTGTGGTGCAGTCTGGGGCTGCGGAGGTCATTCAGACATGGGACATGTTGAGTCAGCGTAGTTTTGAGATCACATGAGTCTGGTCACTGTTGTTGAACTTGGAAGCAAAGATGGAAACAGACACGGCCCTTTCGACTGCAGCTCCCACCCACATCCACTCGTGGGTGTTCATTCCCACGGTCGTCTCTGGTGGTGTTTGAATCTGGGAGGCAGCCCAGCATCCTGGTAGAGTCCTGGTTTAGCAAAGTCCTGTGTTCTAGGGACCCCTCGTCTCAAGCTGACAGGACGTTTGGTCACCCTGACTGTGACCTCTATTGTGAATGTTGGGTTACTTACTAGGCCTTTTTAATTTAAGGATAAAGACCGTATTTCCAGAATGAAAAATCTGCAGTTGAATTATTTAACAGTGAATAATTTCCACTAGGATCAGAACACGTCTGGGTTGCCTTCATCCTTCATGGTCCATTCTAGGCCTGTATTTAAAACATCTAGGCTCTTAAAATTTATATCCGGGAAATGTCTTTCCCTAGCACCCACTCTCCCTCCTTGTTTGAAGGGCAGCAGGTAGGAGTGAAAAGTGCGTTGTTCGTGCTGTCAGTAGCGAGCGATCTCCCATGTGAGCGATTAGACTCGAGTGTGGCCGTCAGTTTCACCTCACTGAGCTGGTCAACGCTCCCGGACCTCGAGGCACAGAACCAGGGTCCCAGCCTTTACTTTAACCTTGGATCTCTGTCCTGGCTAGAAATGGCCTTTTTCCTCTTGAAATGCACCTTACAAGTGAACTAATGTTGAGATTTAAGTTACACCCGTTGAACATGTTTAAATGGGTGCAGACGTACTGTTCCCGCCTACATATCCTGTGTTCTCTGCTCGGTCAGCCGTGTGAGATGGCCCACAGCGTCACACTGGGCCTCAGTCCTTGTCGAGGACAAAAACGAACTGGCTTATAAAACAGAGCTGAGTGTTTTGTTTGCTCTTTTTGTTAAGGAAATAAACTTTTTGAAAGGAGTGCATGGGTGGTGGCGGGGTAGTTACAGGGTGTATACAAATTAAGCCAGGTGATGAATACATGGGTTGGTTTAAATTGGGGTCCTTGTGTTGAGCATGTGGCATTGAGTCATTCAGAGCCTTTTGCTGACATAAGTGTTTTGTGCTGTTACTAACCAGGGGTCTAGCAGTGATGAGTTCTGCCTGGAAGAGGACAGAGACTGACCCCTGGGAGGTGCGATTGTGGAGACCCATGGCCAGTGGTCCCCAGTTCTTAGAATGAGTGAAGGGGGTGCATAGTTTTCTTTCCTTTAAAAAATTATTTTTTCTTTATCAATTTTAGAGAGAGGGGAAGGAAGAGGGAGAGAGGTAGAGACATCGATGAGAGAGAACATCGATTGGCCACCTCCTGCAGGATCAAACTGGCGACCTCTTGGTGCATGGGCTGATGCTCAACCACTGAGCCACACTGGCTGGGCGTAGTTTGCTTAATTGTTGGTCCATTCTTCCATGTATACTTTAAAATTTTTCATACAATTTTTTGAGAATCCTATAAAAAAAAAAACAAGTAGGCAATGAAATGCACAGGAAGCTGCCAGTGCCGGAATGTACCTACTCCTACAGGTAACATTGTTCCCACCTTGTGAGGGTGGATTCAGATGTACTGGTTTAAATAGAGATCAGTGCAACTTTGGTCTGCTTTGGGCATTGCTTCTCTAGGTACACATCTTAATGGTGTCGTCTCCAGCGAATTCAGACAGGAAGTTGAATTGGAACATTTGAAGAAAACATTAGAACAGTTGATAGTATTCAATCTCTAAGATTTTGACAATAAGAAAATACTTATGTACCTACAAGTTAAAATGTCTGTTGTGTTAATTCCAAGCTCATTTTCCACCAGTGTGAGTAATCTTTTTTCATTTCAGATATTAAAAGAAGTCACGTTTGTACTTTTCAAGGTTAAACAATTATAAATACAGTTTGATGGAAGCCCAGAATAGGATGAGTTCGGTGATTGTTACCGCTGATGCGGACGGTGTTAACTAGGCTTTCATCACTGGGACTGGAGGTCGATCGCCTTCCGCTTCTAGAAGTGTCTGCTCTCGTTTAGTCAGCTCAAGAACTGAACCCTTTTTTAGTTTTTAATGTGGTTGTAAAATGTTAGGGAATAAAAACACCTAAAATAAAGAGGCTTCATAAAAGTGTAGCCACTGAAACTGTTACAAAGAAACCCCCAGTCAGATAGTGATCATTTTGTGGCTTCCCTCCAAAGGGGATGAAAATATCTTTTCACCTTAAATAATGTAATCATGCCCAGCCAGGGTGGCTCAGTGCATTGAACGTTGTCCCATGGACTGAGAGGTCCTGGCTGAATTACCGATCAAGACACACGCCTGGGTTTTGGGCTTGATCCCCAGTAGGGGTTGTGCAGGAGGCAGCCAATAGCTATTTCTCATATTGATGTTTCTATCTCTCTTCTTTCCCCTCTCTCTAAAAATAAATAAATAAATAAGTGAAGTGATCACTTGAGTTGTGCGTGTGATGTAAGTGCTAGCTTATTCGAAATATGGCCAGTGCATCATGAATTAGATGCTTTGAAAAGCATCACTGGCAGCTTGAACTTTTGGAGCGAGAATATTTGGAATTGATGCGCTTTGGAACCGGGGACCACAGGGCAGAAGATGCATCGATGCAGTGTGTCTGAGTCTGGCTGAACTTGGAAGCCCAGCACTGTCTTGGTCACAGCATGTGCTTGGAAGGGGTGGGAACTGTTTGGTGGGGGTGTAGCGTCCTGTAGCCAGGATTTCTGGGCTAACTTCTGCATGAGAATAAAGATGTGTTTCCGTATGCAGAGATCAGTAGGGCAGCTCGATTTCTTCTCTGCGCAGTGCTGCCTGGTGTCTTCCGGGGGACGGTTCTGGGTTAGCGCCGGAAGACGGTGGTGGGAAAAAGGAATAACAGACTAACCCGTTGTCTTTTCCTCCCCAGGACTTTCTTTACGAAGACATGGATTCGTTGACTGAGATGCTCAGGGCTTTGGCGACTGATGGAAATAAGCACCGGGCCAAAGTGGACAAGAGGAAGCAGCGGTCGGTGTTCAGAGACATACTCAGGGCCGTGGAGGTGAGCCTCTGAGCCCTGCCAGGCTACTGTCTGAAGTTCGTGTTTCAGGCCAGACTGACCATTGGTCATTTGGTGGATTAAACTTCACCTTGGACCAAAATAATTTTCTCCTTTCGGTCCTGAGTGGGTTTTTAACAACAGAAATGAAGAGTTCAATTTTTTTTCAACAGAGGAAAATTTAAGTCTGATGTGTAATGTTACCCTCTTATTAGTTTAAAAAAATGAAAACATTTCATAGTGCCAGAGGTGTATTTCACTTCAGCGTGCTTGGCCATCACTTAAGCAACGGCGCTTGGCACGTGCATACTTAGTGCAATGATTTTTGCAAATAGTAAATTATTGCCTACCCCTCAGTACCCCGAAGGTGCAAAATCTGAAATAACAAAATCCAGCATTTTAACAAGATCGCTTAGAATCATCACCTGATGCCTGGCTCCCTTCCGTGGTCCCCTAACCTGCCGGGCTACCCAGCAGACCCGGTGACCCGGAGACGGCGGGGTTAGGATGCACTGGGCTGAGCTGCAGGGCGGGCAGCCCTACTGTGCACCGGAGTCTGGCAGTTTGTGTGTGTCCGGGTACAAATGTTTCTTGCGTATAAAGGGTGGTTCTATTAGTATATCACATAAGTATATCCACCTTGCCATGCGTGTGAGGCTTAGAATGGAAGAAAGCACAGGCATGCGCAGGCCCTGCTCAGACCCAGGTGTGACGTGTTCCTGTGATTCTCGTGTAGCCGGCTTAGCTCCTTTCTTCACTCGAATCCATGTTTAAAAAAGTACAACTGGGGCTTGAATTGGTGCAGAGATCCGCCGGGATCTAAGTGTGGGTTAATGCTGTTGACTCCGGGTTTTACGATCTGAAACAGCGGCTACCTTGAGCAGACATCCCTGTCAAAGTTCATCTGCTCTAACTAGTGTGGTGGTAACCGCAGATTAAGCAAACCATTTTCCTGAGCATCTAAACCATTCCTGTACTGGAATCCTGCCCTCCCAGAGTAGCCACATGACCCAAATGTGGGAATAGTTTATAGTTACTCAAGAAAATCGGGAACTATAGAAACAAGGGGTGTTGGACTTTCTGAATCAGCTGACCTCAGGCTCTGTCCCGAGCGTCCTCTCTGGGAAACAGACGTTAAGGGTCCACAGGACGTTGGTTTCCTGGTGGAACTTTGGGGCGAAGGCCGTGCAGCCGCTGGAGGAGAATTCTCTGGCTGACCGTCTGCTTTCATCCAGAAAGTCTTCCAGAAGCTCGTATTCTTTAAACCAGCAGGTGTTTCGTTGTTCGGGGCTGTGACCCAGGTTTTCTTGTGCTGGTCCCCTCAGAGCTCTTAAGCAGTAGAAGTATTTGTTTGAGGAAGAATGAGACCCAGGGACTGGAGAACATTGCGAGCACAGCTGCAGGCGAGCCCTCTGCTCAGCGGTCCTTGCACCGCGCCGGATGCTGCGGGTCCAAGGGAGGGAACTGAAAGTCGGGTCTCTGGGAACCTGAGAGCAGCTGCAGCAGAGCGAGGGGGGCCAGAGCGAGGGGGTGGGGAGTAGGGGCGACACGGGAAGGGGAAGAGTGGGCCGCTGCACTGCGGGGCGTTGCTTTGTTCTGTGTGGATGCTAGAGACAGTTATGGCAGAAGGCCAACGGAGCGAGGAGTGACCACGAGTCACCAGTGGAAACCACGAGTGACGGACCGGAGTCTGCGGAGGTTGAGGAGTGATGATCAGACGGGGTTGGGTGGCAGGGCCTGACTCGGGAGAGAGGACTGTGCAGAGGATGAGATGGGTCTGGAGAGTCTCCCCTGGCATCTGTTTTCTGCAGCCAGCGAGGCTGAACTGGGAGGACCCTTCTGGCGGGCGTGGTGTGGTTTTGAACTGCTGTAGCCCATGTGCTGTCCTGCCTCTGGTCAGCTGTGGTGTGGGTGCGGCCCCGCCCCTGCGCTGCGGGGCACGTCGTGGAGTCCTGGAGTCTGCTGCACGGTGCACTGTCTGCCGAGAGCAGGGGGCTCAGGCGGACGTGGGGAGGGCGGTGGTCCTGCCCGGTGGGGTTCCTCTGCCCCTGTGGCGATCACCTCTCCCTTCTGGTTCCTCATGGTCGTGACTTCTCCATCCACTCGGAGAAACCTCCGCTCTTCTGTTTGGTGGCCTCTGTTTCCATTTCACTGGGCCCCCTCCTGTGGTCACACTTCAGGAGTCGTCTCCTGGTAAGACTGTCCCGGGTCTGAAGTCTCGAGCCATCGCCTCTCACCTACTGAGCCTGTGCTCGGACCCCTTACCTCCACGTCTTCCTGGGTCCCGCCTCCCCTGCGCGTCTCTGACTGTCCTGGCACCTTCTCCTCCCTGCCCGGCCCTCCCCTCCCCTCAGTTCTAGCCCAACGAAGGTGCTCGGCCTTTTCCTTAAGTTTGTTGAGTGCTATTGAATTTTAAAAGCTCTGCCGACTGTGGTTTTCCCCTCACTGTGTGTACAGACCAGTGGTCCGGCCGGTCTTTCAGTCCTGGGGGGTGTCTACACCGCCTTGTCCACGCTCCCCGCGCGTCTGTTCCGAAACGGCCTACACAGGGTCTCTTCGGCCTCTCACGTCCTCCTGTAACCTTGGCTTTTCTGTTGGCTAGGAACGGGATTTTCCAACAGAAACCGTAAAATTTGGTCCCGAGCGCATGTATATTGATTCCTGGGTCAAGAAGCACACCTACGACATGTTTAAGGAGGTCCTGGGCTCGGGGGTGCAGTACCACCTGCAGGTGAGTGGCGGCGTCCTGTGTGCCTGTCAGTGAGGGAGCGGTTGTGACCGGCCCACTGATGGCCTTGGGGCAGGTGGGTGGACACACAGGATGCTTACCGCGCGGCACGAGACAGCAGATTTACGCGTGGAGGTGAAAGGAAATGAAAGTGTCCCTTGCTTCTGCCTCGTGTCCGCCCTCTGGAGCACGGTCCATGCCTCGGGGCACAGCCGGCAGCCCCTCCCATGCCAGGCTTTGGGGACCAGGAGCCTAGTGCGACTTCACGTGTCACAAAGCTGGTATGTAATACGAGCCTTGTCCCCTTTCTCTTTCCCAAAGTCGAACGAATTCCTTCGCAACGTGTTTGAACTTGGACCGCCGGTGATGCTTGATGCGGCCACGCTGAAAACGATGAAGATCTCTCGTTTCGAAAGGGTGGGTCTTATTTTTTGTTTTCAACAGACCTAAACGCCCACGGCCTGCGCTGTCTTCTGTGGGTGCCCGTGTTCAGCCGGGTGGGGCTCTAGTTCCTCCTGACCTCACCAGACCCAGGCCAGCGGTCCTGAAAGTGGGGGTGCTTGACGGCGTTGAGAGCGGGGGCTTGAGTGCACCTTCTAGTCCCTGTCCCGTTTCATGAGCCTCGGGGTTGTTTTCACTTCTTGTCTTTCATTCTGTGACATGTTGAGTACAGGAGAAAGATGGGCATGTGTTTCTCTGGTACCAGACAACTGACAAGCCCCAGACTTGTTTGATAAGGACACTGGGGCTCGCAGAGTCCCGTTCTGGGAACTCATTTCGTTTCACTCAACACGTCAGACCTCCTAATTACTCTGTTGTTTTGTTTTGTTGTGTTTTGTTTGCTGGGGTAAAATTCACGTCACGTGACGTGCACTGCTTGGAGGTACACAGTTCAGTGGTATTTAGTGCATTCACGACGCTGCACGGCTGCCGTGTCCAGGTCCAGAGTGTCCGTCCCCTGCCTGTCCCCTGCCTGTCCCCTGCCCCTCCCAACCACTGATGTGCTTTCTGTCTCCGGGCTGCCTGCTCCGGTGTTGACACCAGCTCCGGCTCTTCCCTGGCGTCAGTTGCCCGGGTTCCTCGGCTCGGAGCAGGTGTCTGCTTCAGGCCTGTGGGTGCTGGAGGGGACCCCACTGTACGGGGCCCGCGTGGTGGGCATTCGGGCTGTTTCACTTCTCTAAGAAGTCAGCCCACTGCCTGATTGTGGCTTCCTCCTCTTACATTCCCAGCGCAGTATGTGAGGGCTCCTGTTCCTACGTCCTTACCAGCACTTGAGATTCACTGTCTGTCTCTCTTTATCAGCCATCCTAGTAGGTGGGAAACACTCAATGATATTTTTACAAAATTTTAATCCTTTTTAAGACCATATCATTGATTGTTGGGTTTTTATTTTTTATTTATTTATTTATTTATTTTTTTTTAATCCTCACCTGAGGACATTTTTCCTTTTTTTTTTATTCAGATAGAGGGGGAGGGAGAGAGAGAGAGAGAAACATCGATGTGAAAGGTACACATCAAGTGGCTGCCACCTGCACGACCAACCAGGGCCAGGGACAAACTGCAACCGAGGTACATGCCCTTAGCGGGAACCGAACCCGGGTCTCTCTGGACCGTAGGCTGACGCTCTAACCGCTGAGCCAAACTGGCCAGGGCAATTGTTGGGTTTTTAATACATACTAATATTTTACATCCTTTTCTCTTTTGAATTATTTCTTGGAGCAACAGCCCTCGCTTGGGAATACAGGCCGGGTTGTGGCTTTGACACATTGCAACGCCCTGCGGCAGTTACTCTTTCGTTTTCAACCCTTTGCAGCAGCCCGTGGAAGCACACAGCTGCCACGCACTCGGCAGCGTGGGGTTCCAGAGCTTAAAAAGTGTTGGTTTAAGGTGTGTGAAAATAGAAGTTCAGTCCCCCGACGTGGCTCCTCGGCTGAGCATCGACCGTGCACCCAGAGGTCGCCCTGCGGTCCTGTCCGGGCACGTGGGAGCCTCCGGGAGGCAGCCCATCCACGCCGATGCTTCTGTCTCCTCCCTGTCTTCCTCTCCAAACATCAATGAGAATAGAACTTTTTTTGTGGTTAGTGACAGCGTGGTTAGAAATTTTTTTCACATCAGTTCATGATTTGCCTTTTCCTTGGTCAGATTCAGTATAGGTCCACTTTTTTTCGCTGGGATTTTCTTGTTGCAGTTGCCATTACCTATCATGTGTTCATTTCCCCCTTGTCCCTTTTGTCTGTGTGTGTTTTATAAACACGTAAAATATTTATAGGATTGCCCTGGCCGGTTTGGCTCAGCAGTTAGAGCATCGGCCCGCGGTCCAGAGAGACCCGGGTTTGGTTCCTACTAAGGGCATGTACCTCGGTTGCGGTTTGTCCTCGGCCCTGGTTGGCTCGTGCAGGTGGCAGCCACTCGATGTGTCCCTTTCACATCGATGTTTCTCTCTCTCTCTCTCTCTCCCTCCCTCCCGCTCTATCTGAACAAAAATGGAAAAGTGTCCTTGAGTGAGGATAAAAAAATATATATGTATATTTATAGGATCAAATTAGTTCATTTCTGTCCTTTGTCACTTTTATGTATCTTTTTGAAAATGTTGCAAGACTGTCTACGCCTTTGTGGCTCACAGCCGGGTTTCCCTTTCCCGTTTCAGCATCTGTACAACTCTGCAGCCTTCAGAGCGCGAACCAAGGCTCGGAACAAGTGCCGCGACAAGAGAGCAGATGTTGGGGAACTGTTCTGACCCCCCGAAGACTGCTCCTCACTCCCGGTCTCCCTCTGGGCGCCGGTGCACTCCGCTCTGGACAGTGCTGGTCTCGGCCGGCAGGTAGCCTCCGTGGCAGGGGTACATGACTTCTAACTTAATGTATAGTATTGTAAAGGATGAGTTCTGATTATGGAATATTCTCTGTAAATATCAGTAAACCACGGGTAAGGTGTTTGTAATGTTTGATCACTTTTTCTATTTATGAAGAGAGCAAAAAATATGTTGTTTCATGATAAGAAAACTATTAGCTAAGATGAAATATACTGTGGTTGTCAGATATATTGATTTAATGACACAGATATTACAAGGTATTTAATTTAAGACCTTAGAGAAAGGAGTTCTGTATACAGTTTTGGGAGCTAGTTCTGGAAAAGCTGCTGTGTTTTTAATTGTAAATGGAACCTGACCATTTTAACTTTGTCACTGGGATCAACAGAGGGAATTCACCCGGCTGGTGGGAGTCCTAGCATATGCGGAAGGGCGCTGACCTTGACCTCGACCTCGGCCTCGGGGGCAGTGACGCTAATCTGTTGTGTAAGACCTGTGCTCTTTATTTGGAAATAAATTCTTTTCACACTAAAGTGTTTGTTTTCTAATAGAAACATTATTCATGGGTTTGAATTACAGCGTTCAGAGGACGAAGCTGGGGAGGGAGGGAGGGTGACAAGGAGAAAACGTGAGAAGTGGGGACGCCGTGGGGTCCCGTTCCCGGTGAGAAAGGGGGCCTCCGTGGGGTTCCGTTTCCAGTGAGAAAGGGGGCCTCCGTGGGGTCCCGTTCCCGGTGAGAAGGGGGACCTCCGTGGGGTCCCGTTCCCGGTGAGAAGGGCAGCCTCCTTGGGGTCCCGTTCCCGGTGAGAAGGGGGGCCTCCGTGGGGTCCCGTTCCTGACCTGGTTGCCCTGGGACATGAGTCTTCACTTGACACAAAGGTGAGATTCTGACGATGCTTCGGGAGTTGTTACTGAACCGTCTGCAGGACACTGTACAGCAGCGTGTGCCGTTGGCTTTGAGGTCAGTGCTGAAAACTGGCCAGAGGCCAGAGGCCTGAGAAGGCTCACCAGAAAAGTCCAGAAACCAATGCAGGTGTTTTCCAAATATCCGTCCCTCCCTCGTCCCCAGCTCCTGGGGGTCTGATGTCCACCTGCAGACGTGAAAGGGATTGGCTGGCCGGGGGTCCCCGGCGCTGGGCACGAAGCTGACCTGGAATTTGGAGCTTGGCTCGGCAAGTACTCGTGGGTTAGAAACGGTTGCAAGTGTGTTTATCCCACATTTTCAGCTCCATGTCTGCATGTTTTAAAAGGAAAGTGAGTTTTTGAAGTGATGTGTGCACACACAGGTTGATAGCACCTCAGGCTGAAGAGCAAGCTCCCCGATCCCCGGTCCCGTCCCCGTTTCTACGTGATAAGGTTCCACAGCTACTTCACTTACGCCTTGGATGTACACACGTCACGGGTTCTTCCTGGACAGTCCCAAACACGGCTGAAGCTTCCTGAGTCCATTTTCCACGCGGTCCCCCGCAGTGTGCGTTTCAGCGTGGGCCGGTTTCCTCGCCCCGTCGCGTGCAGCTGTTCACTGAGAGTTCGTCGTCCGGGCCCGTTTCCCTCGGGGACCGGAGTCCACCTTTCCTGGATCCTGTGTCCTCAGTATTAGATGACTGTCCTGTTACACAAGAACACTTCCCTCAGCCCGGCCGGTGAGGCTCAGTGGTTGAGCGTCGACCCTGCACCAAGAGGTCGCCGGTTCGATTCCCGGTCAGGGCACCTGCCCAGGTGGTGGGCCCGATCCCCAGTGGGGGGCATGCAGGAGGCGGCCAGTCGATGTTCTCTCTCATCGATGTTTCTCTCTCTCCCTGTCCCTTCCTCTCTCTCTCAAATCAATAAAGGAACATTTAAGAAAAACAAACACTCCCCTCAGTACTTCTGGGAATGGTGCGTGGGAGGTCAGCCATTCTGAGACTTGACATGCCTGAGAGGCAGTTTGTCTTGGGACATGAAGTTCTAGGTAGGCAATCCGGAATTAAGAAAGCATTGCTCTCTTTAAAGTGTTATAGTAACTGTCCCGGCTGGTGTGGCTCAGTTGGTTGAGCACCCTCCCCTGCACCGAAAGATCACCAGTTCGATTCCCAGTCAGGGCACATGCCCAGGTTGCAGGCTTAACCCCTGGTTGGGGTGCAAATGGGAGGCAGCCAATCCATGTTTCTCTCTCCCTCTCCGTCTCTAAAAATCACTAAAAAACATTTTAAATAAGTGTTATATCTGATGCGATTTTATTTCTGATTTATTTCCTTGTTTTCTTTTGCTCTTCCGGTCATTCTAAAATCACTTGATACTGTGCTTTGGGCTCTGACCAGCTGGAAAATAGTTTTCAGGTCTTGACCATGCCTCCCCCCACGCCCACCCCTTGCTCCATATGTTTTTGTTCTGAAAACTACATGAGATGCCAGAGCTGCTGGATGGAGCCTCATCCATTTCTTTTTCTTTCTGGGCGATTTCTGTAACATGAGTTTGCAGTCTTCCTATTGCATTTTCTTTTTGGCTGCCCTGAACCTGCCTCTTTGTGTTCCGCTCCATACTTCCCTGCAGGTCTGGCCCCTCCTCTCCAGGGACGCCCCCTGTCAGCCAGGCAGAGTGGGACCCACCACTGTCCTTTCCATGGTCCACCAGGGGGTGGGAACTTTGTAACGAATTGTTTCCTCCTGTTTTCATGCCTGCAGCTAGCTTTCTGGTTTTTATTTCTAGTCTGTCTTTTTACTGGGCTTGAGGGAGAAGAGATGAATGTTAATGTGCGTATTGAATTTCTAGAGTGGTTCTTTGTATTCGTGAAATTGGGTAGTTGCTAGACCGGGTTACTGGGGAGTCAGTGTATAAAAATGCTTGAGGTTTTTGTGGGGTTTTGAGTTTTCAAATATACTTTTAATTGTACCAATAGTCACATTCTGCTTAGAAATCCCAGAGTAATTTTTCAAAGATAAACCCAAAGGAAGGAAGGAGGGAAGACCTAGAGACTTCATCATCCCCGAGGAAGGAGTCTCAGAGATAAGTTCCCCAAAAGGACGAGTGTTCTCGAAAGTGGTAAACAGCAAATAGTACATCATTCGTTCCTGGAATCCGGCTGGTTTAAAGGAATTTAAAATGGTCCCTGCCTAATACGTTCTTTTTTTAATTTTAATTCTCACTCGAGGGTATGTTTATTGATTTCAGAGAGAGAGGAAAGGAGGGAGAGAGAGAAACATCTATTGGTTGCATCCCTTATGAACCCCAACTGAGGATCAAACCTGCAACATAGGTATGTGCCCTGACCAGGAATCGAACCCACCACCTTTGGGTGTACGGGCGACGCTCCAACCAACTGAGCAATCTGGCCAAAGTGGAATATTTTGAGGCTCAATCGTTAATGTGGGAGCAGCCAGCATCTGTGACTTGAATCTATGGCACCAACAGAATCTCCTGGAAGGTGAATCAAGATGCAGTAAGATACACAATTTGAAAAAGGGGAGGGGGGACAAAAAATCCTTGAAAATGTCCCCAGATTAACCAGTTCATGTGAGAATTAATTTCTTGTGACCCAAAACCCTTCTCAATGTGGCCTTCCAGGTTCACAACAAGTAAAACCATGTCGGTTCTCTGACCGCCACCACCTACAATACACTCACCTTCTCACCTGGACAGAACCTGGCTGAATTCAGACTTGGGAGTGAGGATCTGCCCATCTCCGCCCCCCACCCCCCAGGATTAGTATTTCCCGGGGCTGTCAGGTTACTGGAGCAGGCAAAACAGCCAGTGTTCCACATGCGACCACCCCATGATCTCTTCAAAAGACAGATGGCTTAAGACAGATCGGTAGTTTGAAGGTTTATTTGTTTTTTTAAAATATGTTTTTATTGGTTTTTTAGAGAGAGCAACAGAAACATCAATCAGCACCTCCCACAAGTCTCCCACTGGGAACCGAGCCCACACCCTGGGCATATGTCCTGACCAGGGATCGAACCGGAACCTCTCAGTCCATGGGAGGACGCTTCATCCACTGAGCCACATGAGCCGGGCTGGGGGTTGTTTTTAAAAACTGAGCATGGGCCCTGGCCGGTTTGGCTCAGCAGTTGGAGCGTCAGCCTGCGGTACAGAGAGACCCGGGTTTGGTTCCTGCTAAGGGCACATACCTCGGTTGCAGTCTGTCCCCGGCCCTGGTTGGTCGTGTGGGTGGCAGCCACTCGGTGTGTCCCTTCACATCGATGTTTCTCTCTCTCTTCCTCTCTCTCCCTCCGGCTCTATCTGAACAAAAAATGGAAAAATGTCCTCGGGTGAGGATAAAGAAAAAAAAAAGATAAAAACTGAGCATGGTAATTAAAATACTAGCTAACGAGCATTTTCATTTTTTTAAAGAAATTGGGCTTCACTTTTTCATGTATAATGTGCTTTTGAATTGTTCCTCGGGTGTAGATGAAGCTTACGCAAGGGCCATTATTCCTTTCTCCCAAAGTAGAGCGAGGTCCAAACTGAATGTAGATGTAACAGAAATTTTGTGGAGCAAAGCTTTTGTGCTTGATGTGCAGTGTGTCCCAGGGACGACCGGTGTCCCGCTGGTCGTGGCAGTGGGAGGCAGGATTGTGCACACTGGGGATCAGTTGACCGCCCCTTAGCACCAGCTGGGGCAGTTAGGCTGGTGGGCTCGCTGGTCCCCTCCTCGCTGCGGCTCCTTCCACCTCCACCAGGGGGCAGAGCTGCTTGGCCGGTGTGCGAGGGAACCATGGAGAAGCCAGGCAGCCGGCCTGGGACAGGACCCTGACTGCGCGGACCTCGGAGCCAGGCCTTCGCCGGGGAAGTGGATGAGACCCAGCTCTCGTCCAGGGCAGCGGGTCTGCAGCCATGCCGCCTCCCCTCACCGCTGTTTCTGCAGCTACCGGCAGGGCTAGGAGTCCTCTGACCTGCCACCGTCCTAGCTCCAATGTCACGACCTTCCTCTGCCCCGGATGACTGAAGTCCTCCCCCGGCCTGGAGGCCTGTGCAAGCCGGTTGTCGCGGCCGCAGCCTGCTCGGGATGTTTGTCTCAGGGACCACACCAGCGGCGCTGCTGGAGACCAGCCGGCTTCCACGCTCACAGCGGCCAAATAAGGACATTAACTTCAGTAAGAGCCTCCTCGGTTGCTTTCTCCAGCGCAGTTTCAGGGACATGGTCCCTAAAGCCTTGGCCAGCTAGAGGACAGTCGGCACTGGGAACCGCACACGCTTGGCTAAATCACTAAATACAAACCCTGGAGGAAGGGAGGCCGGGGAAGAACTCGGATTTCTAGAAAGTGCTATTGTCCTTGCTTCTGAATAGTTCTGTTTTCCTTTTCTGGTGACCTAGCAGGGGAAGCTTGCGTTGTTTTGTAAGTAATCGGCATGCTGCTAGCTACTGAGGCTGAACGGTAGTTGATCCTTGAGGCTGGGATGCTTTTTGTTGCATGTGTCTGTGCTTTTAATTTTGGATAGAGATGATTTAGACTTGATTTGAAAGAGGACTTCCTGAAGGTGACGAGGCAGAGACTCTGAAACGGAATTCAAGGACAAATGACCGCAAATCACTCCGTAAAAGCTTCCTATTAGATGTGCATTAAGCCCAGCGATAGCAATTCTGATGTGGCGAACAACGCTGGTGTGAGTTTGTGTTTCTGGGCTCCGGTAAAAATAAACCGTGGGGAAAAATAAAGCGCAAAGCACTTTTTCGTCGACAACTATCTTTATTTGTCAGAATATTTACTTGTAGGTAGTCAAAGAATTCCTCAGTGACAAAAAGAGTTAGTGGTTAGCATTGACCCAAACCAGAGGAAAATGAAACCACTCATATGTTGCAGCTCAAGGTATTGGAAAGGGATTCATTACAAGGAGGCTGCATTGTCCGGCTGGTGTGGCTCAGTGGTTGAGTGTCTACCCAGGCACCAAGAGGTCACTGGTTTGATTCCCGGTCAGGGCACATGCCCAGGTTGTGGGTCTGATCCCCAGTGGGGGACATGCAGGAGGCAGCCAATCGATGTTCTCTCTCATCGATGTTTCTATCTCTCTCTTTCATTTCTTCTCTCTCTAAAATCAATAAAGGGCAAAACATTTTTTTTTTTTAAGAAAAGAAGGCTGCCTTGGTCACTCTTACTTGATGAACGGGTTTGCACACCGGAGCCGAGAGGGATGGTCAAGGTCCTGCGGTGCAGCATTAGTATCACTCGGGCGTCTCCAGTCCGGAAGTCCTTCCCAGGCCCAGGTGTCCAACAGCTGTGCGGCCTGGTTTTAGGGACGCGATCATGTATCCATTTACAGGCAGGCTCGGTGGCAGGATCTTGGCCGCGCGCACACACCCAACTCAGCTTTCTCTGCTGGGTCTTTATTTTTCATTTGCATGTTGCAGTTAAAGATGCGTCGAGATAGCATCTGTTTACGCGGTGACACCTCCCTTGGGGCACTTCGTAGCTTCTCTGTGTCCTGGTCTGAGTGCTTTGGGATTTGGAGTTGAACTGAGTCACCTTTGAGTTGGTGCGAGGCCAGTCATTTGGAGATTTTATTAGCCCTTCTGCTCTTCTATCGGTTTTCGTGGCTACGATTTCCCAGCGAGTCCTCTACTTTGTCGATGAAGCCTCGGAATGAGATGTAAGCACAGCGATCACATTCCTAGAGGGGGAGCTAGGGCTCAAGGCATGAAGTCAGGATCCAGAAATGAACCAGCCTCAGTCACCTCGCCTGAAATAGAAGCGGGGTCTGGACGGGCGGTCCTCTGACATGACACACAGACGCCTCACCCATCAAACATTCGCCTTTGGGATAACGAAGCATAAAGAGATGACCAAGTGCAAGATATTTGTAGAAGAAGAGTTTAGAGCCCTGTGACCATGACAGCAGTCACTACGTTGGTTCCATCTGTAAAAAGGTGACAATTTACACCTTTGTTTTAGATGCTGCTGCTTTCTTCTTCGTTTTTTGTCATTTCAAGTCTTTCCCTTAGGAATGCCCATGAGGTATATTTATTTATTTACTTTTGGAATTCAGTGAGATCAACATCTAAGGGGCTTCGGTAGTATTTTATCTAAACAGTCGGGGTGTGATGTGTTCTTGGTAATTCAAATTCCGGGACAACTGAAACACCCTTTTAAGTTTTGAACTTTGAAAACGAAAAAAGAATCGGTCCGTATTTTTTCCAGAGGGTTCTGGGAGCAGGTGTTTGCAAGCACCGGCTGCGGTTAGGGTTAGCGGGCCTGGGTTGCAGTGGTTTCCAGGGCAGGTAAGCTGCTTAGCAAAAGGCTGACACTTTTCAGATCTTCTAAGTGCTCACATCTGTTTTCTCTTCTCGGACTTGGTGGCTCCTCACTCTGTTCTGTCCTCGCTGGCGCTGGGTATTGGAGGAGACTTAGGGAATGCACACCGGAAGCAGAGGGTGTGACCACAGTCGGGCAGGCCCGAGGTTGTGGACTCTTGGGGCGTCCAGAGAGAGACCACGTGGGAATCGTCACCCTCAGTCTTATTTCTGTCCGTGGGCTTATGATTAACTGCCTCAGATTACTTGAAAAAATAGTGAGGTTAAAATCCTAACTGAAATATTTTAGGTGTCCCTACTTAACAAAAGTCACTGGCTTCCAAACCTGGCAAGGGCATTCGGAGAATAGGGTTGGGGTTCTCCGTCAAGGGGGGCAGTCGGAGGGGCAAGTGCAGGAATACTGTAAGGGGTTCCACGCGTGCTGCGAGGGGAACTTTCAGGACCCAGCCGGTGCGCAAAGGAGAGACAGGTTGATTCTCAGAGGAGGTGAGCTTGGAGCTGAGTCCAGCGGGGACCAGGGAGCAGTGTGGAGCAGGACGGTAACCCCGGGGAGGACCCAGTGAACTCTGGAGCTCTGGCTGCCTCCGGCTCCGCCACCGGCTCCAGGTCACTTTCCGTGTTTAGGGGAAGGACGGAGCTAGACGGGGGGCATCTCCAGCTGTCTCCAGATCAAAGCAAAACCTTGTGTCACTAGGAGGCTCAGTCTGTGGGAAGAGACAGCATGAAAAGAAGAGGCCTGATGGGAACTGCAATGTGTCTTCCTAGAGCCTTCATTTCACATAATTAATTCAAAAGCAACAGCTCTGTCTGCTACAGAGACTCTTAAAATCGGCCTTTCAATCCATTCAGGCTCCTCAGCGTTGCTTGACTTGGGGCTGTCATTAGGGAATTCACCTTAAATGTCAACCTCGATTTATCAGTGATATCTTATGTTGGTGGCCGCCATCTAAGGAAACGTGGGGACGACACCTCAGAGGTCCTGGAGTCGAGCTTCCCACGGCCACAGGGTTCTCTTTGTAGCATCTCAGCTTGTCAGAGTTTGTCCTGGGGACCACAGCCAGCCTCTGGCGGCTAAAGAACACATTCACAACAGCCGAGATCTGGAAGCAGCCCAAGTGTCCATCAGTAGATGAGTGGATAAAAAAGCTGTGATGCCCTGGCTGGTTTGGCTCAGAGGTTAGAGCGTCGGCCCTCAGACCAAAGAGTCATGGGTTCAATTCCGGCCAAGGGTACATACCTCGGTTGCGGTTCGTCCCCTGCCCTGGTCAGGTCGTGCAGGAGGCAACCAGTTGATGTGTCTCTCTCACATCGCTGTTTCTCTCTGTCTCTCTTTCTCTCCCTCCCAGTCTATCTGAAGATAAATAGAAAAATATTCTCGGGTGAGGATTAAAAAAAAAAAAGAAAAGCTGTGGTACATGTACACAATGGAATACTACCCAGCCATAAAAAAGAAGGACCTCTTACCCTTTGTGACAGCATGAATGGACCTGGAGAGTGTTATGCTAAGTGAATACAGTCAGAGAAAGATGAGTTCCATATGATTTCACTTATATGTGAAATCTAATGAACAAACTGAACTAATAAGCAAAATAGAGACAGACTCATGGTCAGCGGGAGAGTGGGGTAGGGGAGGGGAGGAGGGTGTAAGGGGCTACATGGTGATGGATAGAGACTTGGCCTGGGGAGTGGACACTGTACGGTGTACAGATGATGTACTGTGGAACTGTGGCCCTGAAACCTGTATAATTTTGTCAACCAGTGTCACCCCCAATAATATCAATAAAAAGGAAAAAAAAATAAAGATCACCTTTTAGGTAGAGACTCATACACAGCAGTGACAGCCCCTATGAAAACCACAACCCTGAGAACCCTTCACAGTAACACCCTCTTCTCTCAGAATCTTACGGCCACTGGCTGATGAGCTTCATTTTTTCTTTCTGGATGTTTAGACAGAGTCTTTGTGCACAAAGAATTTGGGTCATCTCACCCGAATATGAGCAATGGGATAAAAGGAAAATATTTCTAAGTCAATTACAAAATAAAAAGAGGGCCCAGGGAAAACACTGGCAGAACAGAGTGGTCCGAGAGGAGGTGGGAGGGGAGCGGTCCGAGAGGAGGGGGGAGGGGAGCGGTCCCAGAGGAGGGGGGAGGCGTGCAGTCAGCAGGCGTAGGAGGCCCAGCAGTTCTCCAAACTGGGCCTCACACTCGACTGCGAGACTCCTGGCTAGCAAAGAGAAAGAATAGGTACAAAGAGGTCCCCAAAAGGCAATACTGTCTTCTGGACAGCACAGCTTTTCCAGGCCTTCAGCCGGAAAGATGATGTGGGGGGGGTTCTGACGCCACTGTCCAGCTTCTCCAGGGCCGTCATTCATGTGACGGGAGCTCCCGGGCCAGCCTGGTGTTTGATGACAGTGCTTCCTTCCAGGGACGATGAATTACTCCTCCCGGGACGCCGGCTCCCACGACATTCCCGAAGACAGGAAGCTCTACGTGGTGGATTCCATAAACGACTTACACAAGCTCAACTTCTGCCCCGACGGATCTCAGCATCTGCTCCGTATGTGTGCCCTCCAAGGCTGGGGCCCTCCCGACTTCGAGGCCACCTAAAAATAGATGCTAATCCAGACGTGGGTGTGGGGAGAGCAGGGGCTGGGGAGACAGCTAGCACCAGACTGGCAGCTGATTGCCAGGCGGTACTTGCTTCTGTTCTCTGAACAGCCCGCGGACATGGGCTCTCTCGGCTCCGAAGTCTGAGTTCCTCTCCCTGGAAAGGGGGAGGCTGCAGGGCAGGTCTCCCAGAGGCTGCTTGGCCTTGGAGTGACCATGGGCAGGTCACGGCGGGTGCCCCCTTCCTAGAGACCTCTCACTTCATTGTGAATCACTGAGGAAAAGTCCCACACATTTATCTAGTTTTTTGTTTTTTTTAAAGGCATTAATATTTTGTTGGGCAAAAAAGTCAACTTTATTTTCTACTTACAAATGACAAATTGTCCCAATTCAAGGGGGAAAAAGGGGCAGGGGAGAAGGCCAAATAAAAAATCTGCTCAGTACTAAATGTGAACCTCGTCCCCCCACCCCCATCTTGTACACGAGCTGATCCACTCACGCTGAGTCCGCCTTTTCCCGCTTCTACGCTGCCGTTCAGACACGGTGTAGGCTGTCCACCTGGCATTTGATTCGTATGTACTCTGAGCTCTGGTGTTCCGATTTTATATCTGGCTTATTCTCCCGAATCTTGCTTTTCTCGTTATTGTAAAGTGCTCAGGTTTTCCACCTGTTTTAACTGCAGTTCAGTGTCAGTGAAAGGGGGTGTCCGGGCCCAGTGCATGTTGTCGCTCTGATTAGGAAGCAAAGCTGTGGAGTGGGTGACAGAATAGGACGCGTGGTGACATAGAATAGGACGTAAGTCTGTCTACGATCACAGCGTGAGGGACCGAAGCAAAGCAGGAGAGAATAAAGCTTAAATCAAGGTCTCCGTTACCCCAAGTTTCTACATTTCGTATTCAGTTGAATTGGGGTGTTATTAGGCAGGCCTCCAATATGACGCCCAAATGCCGACGAGTCCCCGTTGGGTGAGCCAGGCTGTTTTATAAGCGTGGCTGTACTTACCAGGACCATTATAAGCATGGCTGCACTCTCCGCGCAAGGGCAAACCATCTGAAAGAGCCTGCTTCCCCAGCATGTCTGTCCTGAAAACCACGCCAAGAAGCCAGAACACATCCGGGCCGGTTCTTGTTCATGTGGATACAGGCTGAACCGATTTCTCCTGCTGTGAAAGCGGTTTCCCGGGAGACACCCCAGAGCGTCCAGCCTGCCAGGCTCAGGGGTCCCACAGCCAGCTGTTCGGACTCTGGGGCCCCTTTGGGGAAAGGGCAATCGAATCTCCCCTCTGAACCCTTAACTTCTTCTTTTTTTTTTTAATCCTCACCCGAGGACATTTTTCCATTTTTACTCAGATAGAGCAGGAAGGAGAGAGAGGAAGAGAGAGAAACATCGATGTGAAAGGGACACATCGAGTGGCCGCCACCCACACGACCCAACCAGGGCCGGGGACAAACTGCAGCCAAGGTACATGCCCTTAGCGTGAGCTGAACCCGGGTCTCTGTGGACCGCAGGCTGATGCTCTAACCGCTGAGCCAAACCGGCCAGGGCTGAACCCTTAACTTCTTTTTTTTTTTTTTTTTTAATTTTTTTATCCTCATCTGAGGACATTTTCCATTTTTTGATAGAGTGGGAGGGAGAAAGAGGAAGAGAGAGAGAGAAACATCGACGTGAAGGGACACATCGAGTGGCTGCCACCCGCACGACCAACCAGGGCTGGGGACAAACTGCAACTGAGGTACGTGCCCTTAGCAGGAACCGAACCCGGGTCTCTCCGGACCACAGGTCGACGCTCTAACCGCTGAGCCAAACCGGCCAGGGCTGAACCCTTAACTTCTTGATCCCCTCCACCCACAAACGAAAAGTCCATGTTCTGCTACTGCGGTGTTTACACGGCCTTCAAGGCGCCTTCCAAACTGGGGTGAGGAGCTGGCCCGCCCTGCGTGTTCCAGGAACGCCAGGGTAGCGGACGGTGCACAGTTCAGGAAGGGCACCCAGCGCAGGGCCCGGTCCCTCTTGGAGCCCTTGGCGGGAAGCTGGGCGCGCCCCGAGCTCACATCCAGGAGCGTGGGGACCGGCCAGTTCCGCCGACGGCTGTGCGCTGAGGCTCGTGGTTGCTCTCCCGTCTGTTCGGTCTGTTTCAGCGCCGGAGGAGAAAACCGCAGGTGTCGGCACTCACGCCAGAAACCGAAGCCCCAGTCTGTTCTTTGTGGGGCTGATCATCGTGCTGATCGTCAGCCTGGTGCTGGTCTCCTTCGTGCTGTTTCTCATAAGTGAGTACCTCCCACGCGTCTTCGGCGCACGCGCTCGCTCCGCAGCCCGCGCTCGCTCCGCAGCCCGTGGTTTTCCCTGGCTCAGCAAAGGCGCAGAGCGAGCCGGGGATGCAGACCTTCGCCAGCACCTACCTCCAACTTCTGCACCCTGCGATGTCTCACTCGGAGCTCTGGCTGTTGGGTGGTAGGCGGTGTATTCTAGTTGATCTGGTTTTCTTAACCCAAATGCGTAGCTTGTTCCATTAGTTCGGGGCAATAGCATGGAGTCAGGGTCAGCGTCCACCCCTTCGCACGGATTCCTCCTCGGGGCGTTAGCAAACGGGGAACCAGCGCTTTGAAAACGACCCAGCCACACCCACCGGGCACAGGGACTGTTACCCCCCAGGAAAGTACCTGCTGGCAAGGGGGCACCCCGAAGGGACTTCTGCTGTGGGCTGATGTGTAGGGAGGGGAAGGAGAATGCTAATGAAAAGCTGCGATACGTTGGGCGCTTACTCTGTTCCCGGCGCCGTGCTAGGCCCCTGACGTCTGTATGCTCAGTGCAGACACTCGGGCTTAGAGAGAAAAATGAACGTGCCCAAGGTCACACAGCTGACACGTGCCCAGTGGGGCTCAGAGACCTCGGTGATCACGCACTTCAGTGCCATATTACACTCTTGTATGAATAGGGTTTACTTTACATCCGCTTCTAGTGTTTTCTATTAGGGCAAAGTCATAAGAAGAAACAGAAAGACTTGAATAGAGACGTGTCTTTATTTATTTGTTTATTTATTTATTTATATTTTATCCTCACCCGAGGACATTTTTGCATTTATCTTCAGATAGAGCGGGAGGGAGAAAGGGAGGGAGAGGCAGAGAGGAACATCGATGTGAGAGAGACACTTCGAGTGGCTGCCACCCACATGACCCCAGCCAGGGCCGGGGACAAACTGCAACGGAGGTACATGCCCTTAGCGGGAACCAAACCCGGGCCTCTCTGGTCCACCGGCGGTGCTCTAACCCAGGGGTTCTTACCTTCCTGATGCCACGACCCTTTAATACAGTTCCTCATGTTGTGGTGACCCCCAACCATGAAATGATTTTCGTTGCTACTTCATCACTGTAATTTTGCTACTGTTATGAATCGCCATCGGAAATATGTGTTTTTCGATGGTCTTAGGCGACCCCTGTGAAAGGGTCGCTTGACCCCCAACGGGGTCGCGACCCACAGATTGAGAACCGCTGTTCTAACCGCTGAGCCAAACTGGCCAGGGCGAGAAGTGTCTTTTTATTAGACAATCACTCTGTGCCCAGCACATAAATTCCTTAACTCAGATCCTAATCTACCCCTCAAAGTAGTGCCTAATGTTTCAGTTTGCCTCATGGCAGACTCTGGTCCAGAGAGCTCCACTCTCCACGTTCTCCCAGCTGAACTGGGGTTCAAACCCGGGCCTGCCTGGCTCCAGAGACATCCACTGCCCACGGGCGCCCAGGCTGGCAGCAGGAGGTTGTAAACTGAGTCACTTGACCAGTAACTTCAGTCCTCGGCATTCCCTCCCTGCCTCTGGGCTGCTGGAGCAAGGGGGTGCCAACAGGGCCTCTCCGGGCTCTGCCGGGCACCAAGACGGGGCTCTGGCGAGTCCCCACGGAACACGCTGGACACCAGTGTAACATTCTGTGTCCCCTCCTGAAGTTCAAACAGGAAACGGGATGGACGACGTGTCGAGAAGACTGGCAGCCGAGGGAAAGGACATAGAGGAACTCAAGAAACTCAACAGCATGATCTTGAAGCAACTCAACCAGCTGGATGCAGAACGGAACTAAAGAGGTGATCTTCCAGGGCGCTGCTCACCCCCCCCCCCCCCACCCCGGTCCCGCTTCCCCTGTGCGGGGCGGGGAGCCGAGCCAGCGCCTCCGCAGCCGCCCCTCGCTGGCCGGGGAGCCCGCCCTGGGGCAGCCCCTGCTGCGGAGACCCCACAGCTCCCAGGCGAGGGGCTGCGGGAGAGGGGTCCCAGGGACTCACTTTTTGGCCCAATCCTTCTGTTTAATGGGGCGAGGGGGTGGCTGGCATGAAGGACAACCCATAGGGAGCAAGAATCCGCCCCAATACACACAACTGCTCTTACAGAGGTGCTTTGTCACCAGAACAAGGTCACTGTCCCAGGGAGGTCCCCCGTGCCCCCTGCACCTTTGTAAACTCCTGCAGTGAGCGACAGCCTTTGTGTTACAGTCTTTTTAGTGAAAGAGATTCTGCTCCGGGGATTAAACGTGGACTGTTATTTCCCAGGGACAGCGTGGCTGAGGAGCTGGCTGCTGCTATTCACCAGCAGCCGCGTGCGTTGGGCGGGGAGCCCAGTTACTCCACCCGAGTTCATTGAGCTCTTTCTGCAAACAGCCGACGGCGGAGAAGCTCCGCTTCATGTGCGAAACGAAGGAGGTGGGTCATTACGTGTCAGTACAGAAGCTTCGTTGACTTTATTTCTCACGGAAAAAAAAAAATTTCTCAGTACCCCATAATTCATTTGGAAGAAATCTGGTCGGTCTGCAGCCTTCACTAAACTACAGTAGGAACCGCTACATCTGGAATGTTTGGAACTGCCTTGTGTGTACAAAAGCTGAGGCAGCCAGGCCGGTGTGGCTCAGTGGTTGAGCGTCGACCCTGCACCAAGGGGTCGCCAGTTCGATTCCGGGTCAGGGCACATGCCCAGGTTGTGGGCCCGGTCCCCAGTGGGGGGCATGCAGGAGGCGGCCCATCGATGTTCTTGCTCATCAATCTTTCTCTTTCTCTCTGCCTCTCCCTTCCTCTCTCTAAAATCAGTAAAGAAAAAAAAATGAACAAAAAGGTGAGGCACACAGTCAGTAAGACATGGTGTGAGAAAAACGAGAAAAACGAGCTTAAAATGCAGAACATGAGTCATAGAACATCTTTACTAGAAATTCATGTGGTCGTCTATTGAAGAATGTGTTAGCCCTGGCCGGTTTGGCTCAGCAGTTAGAGCGTTGGCCTGCGGTCCAGTGAGACCCGGGTTCGGTTCCCGCTAAGGGCGTGTATCTCGGTTGCAGTTTGTCCCCGGCCCTGGTTGGGTCGTGCGGGTGGCAACCACTCGATGTGTCCCTTTCACGTCGATGTTTCTGTCTCTCCTCTAATCTCTCCCTCCTACTCTATCTGAACAAAAAATGAAAAAATGTCCTCAGGTGAGGATAAAAAATAAAATAGCCACAATAAACATGTATTACTTTAAAAAATAAAAAAGAATGTGTTAGAATTTTGTCATTTTGGGTTGATCAGAGACATTTGGGTTTACCCTGCAATTAAACACATACACACACACACATTTTATAACACTAAAGAGTTAATGAAATAAACACAAGGTGTTTTACTTATCCATCTTCACACTCAAAACATTTGTCCTGCATGCTTGTTTTCTTAAAACCAATAGCTAATATGCAGAATATTTTTAAAAACCTGAAGCCCTGGCCGGTTTGGCTCAGTGGTTGGAGCGTCAGCCTGCGGACCAGAGAGTCCTGGGTTTGGTTCCCGCTAAGGGCATGTACCAAAAAAAAAAAACAAAACAAAAAACAAAATCAATAAAAACATAATTTAAAAATAATTTTATTAAAAAAAAAACAAAAAAAAAACAAAAAACACCTGAAATGTGGGTTTCCTGGAAAATTGTTACTGACCCGTTGAGGGGGCGTGGCAGCATAATTATCAGGACTTGTGACGTCATTTCAGAAACCACCCAAGAAAAGACCTATTTTTTTCCTAGAATCTGTTGGCTCTCATTACACTTTAAAAAAAAATCTGTCTACCGGCACAGTGGAGGTATTTCATGCTCAGGAATAAATAATTTTTATTCCATGGAATGAGTGGATTTTACAACATAAAGCCGTGTCTGGTCCCTCATTTCATCCCCCTTTTGCGATCCATCCTTTTGCACCTGCGCTGTCACACCTGTGCCTGTGTGACACACACCTGGAGGACTCCAGTCAGCATGGCTCCTGCCATTGGGATCCCCACAGAAGGGCTTCCATTAACCCCGCTTTAAAATGTTGGCCAGCCCTGGCCAGTTTGGCTCAGAGGTTAGAGCGTTGGCCCACGGTCCAGAGAGACCCGGATTCGGTTCCCGCGAAGGGCACGTACCTCAGTTGCAGTTTGTCCCCGGCCCTGGTTGGTGTCGTATGGATGGTAGCCACTCAGTGTGTCTCTCTAACATTGATGTTTCTCCTCTCTCTTCCTCCCTCTCTCTCTCCTGCTCTATCTGAAGATTAATAAAATAAAATAAAATATTGGCCAGCTGCATGGCACACTGTGTGTGTGTGTGTGTGTAAAAGGGAAGAATTTCAGTTTGTTACGGCCCATTTTTATTGCTTAGAAAGATCATGTTCATGGAAACAAGATTGCTCTGAGTCGGGGTGATTCAATACTTTTCTTCCAGCGTAAAGTAGGACTCCCTTTAAATTCAGTTGAGGAGCCCTGGCCGGTTTGGCTCAGCGGTTAGAGCATCGGCCTGCGGTCTGGAGAGACCCGGTTCGGTTCCCGCTAAGGGCACGTACCTCGGTTGCAGTTTGTCCCCGGCCCTGGTTGGTCGTGAGAGTGGCAGCCACTCGATGTGTCCCTTTCACGTCGATGTTTCTCTCTCTCTCTCTGTTCCTCTCTCTCCCTCCCACTCTACCTGAACAAAAAATGGAAAAATGTCCTCGGGTGAGGATGATAAAAATAAATAAATAAATAAATAAATAAATTCAGTTGAGGATAAGCAAGGGAGCTAGACCATCAGACAAGATTGCTCATCTACCTTCTCTGTAACGAGTTCGCCCAAAAGCTGTGACAAGGAGAAAGAGGGTCAGGACTGAGCGCCAGCCTTCCACAGGGCCAGGAAGTGCATTTTTTAAAAAGGAGGGACCATGAAAATGTTCTTATTGGCATCCCTGTGTCCACTCATTCTCATTTGATGAAGAGAAAGGCTTCTCAGTAAATTTTTTTTTTAAATGTTTTTATTACTTTTAGAGAGAAAGGGAGAGAGAGAGAGAGAAACATTGATCGGTTCCCTCCCACACATGCCACAACCCAGGATCAAACCCACAACCTAGGCATATATTCTAACTGGGATTCGAACTGGCAACCTTTTGGTGCATAGAACAACATTCAACACACCAGCCAGGGCCTCAGTAAATTTTTTTGTTTTAATCCTCACCCGAGGATATTTTTCCATTTATCTTCAGATAGAGTGGGAGAGAGGGAGAGAGAGAGAGAAACATCCATATGAGAGAGACACATTGACTGATTGCCTCCTGCACGACCCCGACCAGGGCCAGGGATGAACCGCAGCTGAGGTACGTGCCCTTGACCGGAATCGAACCCAAGACTCATTGATTTGTGGGCTGATGCTCTAACCACTGAGTAAAACCAGCCAGGGCCTCAGTAAATTTTTAATAGGGAAAACATGATTGAAATGTAAGTCTACTTTTTATGAAGAGGAAAGGGATTTTTTAAAAAACAAAAATGCAATTCAGAACAAAGTTAATTCCATGTAACAAGTGGTTTTTACAGCCAGAATGTATGGGGACTTCTCTTCCTGGCACTGGAACCCTGGACCGGGGGCCTGGTGTGGGGCTGGGACCCCTAGATCTCAGGGGGAACCCCCGCAGCCAAAGTATCCCCCGGATTTTTATCTACCACACGTGGGTGTGGGACCAGCTCCTTCCACAACTCTGCCTCTTCTGTCGGTCTCGATGTGGCTTCTTCTTTCAGTCCCTAGTCGTAGGACTTCCATCTCCGTTTCAGGCGGTTCTGAATGGTGGCCGTTCTGTGTTCCGCTGTACTTTTGAGGTGGTTGTGGGAGGACTTGAGTACCGCAGTTCCTTCGCCCGCTGTCTGGACAGGAAGCCCTCTCCTGCTCCCTTTTAAAGGTTAAAACATGGTTCATTACTCAAGCATGAATCCTCAGGAGGGGGTGGTAAGCAGCCCATTCCCCCAGGGGTACTCTTCCTGCGTCCGTGCACACACCTGCCACAGAGCACTTACAGCCCGGTGAATGCGCAGGCGGACAACTGCAAACACACTTCATAGCCAATTGCGGCTTCTCAAATGCCAGAATGTCGACTTTTCCATGCCCTAAAATGATTGCAAATGTTGCCATCCACGGACTAAATGAGAATTCTACTCTGCGTCTCCCCCTGGGCCCTGCCTAGCAAACTTCTTTAATATTGATGAGTTGGCATCAACTTCTGAATCACTGTAAGTTCATTTCGGGGCACTCAAAACGGTTTCGTACAGACCCAGAAGAAACAGTCATGGAAAAGACACTAGGCCCCTTTGAGGTGCAACCTAGCACCTGGTTTTAAATCTCCATTCAGCACAGGTGACAGAAAACCCAGGTTCCTTCCGTATGGCTTGCAGACGCCACAAAGGAATCTTGCGTGAGTGTTCCCTGATCAGCTTGAGCCTACAGCTTCGCGGGACTCCGATTCTGCCTTGCAACTGTTGTGCTTGCACTGCACACTGTGCTTGGCTCTGGGCTCTGGGCATCCTCGGGCACAGTCCGTGGCTCGGTAACGGAGTCTGTGGCACTGAACTAAGCTGGGAGGGATTTCCAGGCCCGCACTGCCTCGGGTTAGAGCAAAGTGCTACTCACTAATAGGAGAGGAGGGACACCTGGTGGCAGTTGGCTATTTCAGGGGAAGGAGGTCAATTCAAAAGGATCGAAAGAAGTCAAGAGTTAAAAGATAGTGTGATACCGGAGGGGAAATAGTTGCATCGGTTGCGGGCCAACTGGAGGCTACATCTTCAGAAAGTGGCTACAAGGCTAGAAGGTCACCTAACAATGGTGGAGACCAAGGAGGTACCGAGGGCTTTCCCAGGACAGCTGGTCCTATTGTCGGCTCCGGGAGATGCCTTTCCTCCCCTGCACACCCCCCCCCCCCCCCGCTCTTGCTCTCTGGGCCACACGTTGGGCTCCTAACCACGCCTTATTTGTGTGGTGCTCTTGTCTTCCCACGTAGGGGTGAGCTCCATGAGGAAGCACGTCCTCAGCGCGAAAAAACACTGGTGACCACTAAGTTCCTATTCATGCCCTGGCCGGTCTGGCTCAGCGGTGAGAGCGTCGGCCTGCGGTCCAGAGAGACCTGGTTCGGTTCCTGCTAAGGGCACGTACCTCGGCTGCAGTTTGTCCCCGGCCCCTGTTGGGTTGTCTGGGTGGCAGCCACTGGAAGTGTCTCTCTCACATCGATGGTTTGTTCTCTCTCTTCCTCCCTCTCTCTGTCCCGCTCTATCTGAAGAAAAATGCAAAGATGTCCTCGGGCGAGGATGAACAACAAACAAAAAAAACAAAGTTCCTGTTAATTCGGGGGAAGATGCGTCCCAGCAGAGGCCCACAGGGCTGGCCGCCTTGCAGACAGGACTTCCTAACAGGGGGACCAGAGAGCCCCCCAGGGCTCCCAGCTTGCCCGCACCCGACATGGGCCACACGGAAGTGAGAGGCCGAGATTTTTAATTTCCAGCCCTGGTAAATGATAAGCCCCGCAGGAAACCTAAAGGCGACCAGTTTCTGCCAGTTTAGCCACGATCCAGGGAAAAGGGATCCTTGCTCCTGATGCTCTGAGCCTCTCGATCGGCCTTCTAACCAGCCTCCCCGAGATCCTCCTCATCCAGTGATGGGGCTCGGGGGACGCACAGGGGCGTTCCCCAATCCTCTCTGGGAACGGGCTCAGAGAAAACTTTCTTCAAATTGGTAACGAATCTCTCTTATGACAGAATCAACGTATGTTTTACTAATGAATGAGTCCTGCCCTGGTCAGGGGCTCAGTGGTTAGAGCGTCGCCCCGATACGCTAGGTTGTATGTTTGATCCCCGGTAAGGCCACACACGAGAAGCAACCAATGAATGCGTAAATAGGTGGAACAACCAATCGGTCTCCTCTCTCTCTCTCATCAATAAAATAAGGATGAGCCCTCACCTAATTTAAAAGGAGAGTTTAATAAACTCACCCGCTCTTGGGCCTCCCAATGAGCAGATTCCCCTTTTTCGTTTTGTATGTGAAAGAAAGGAAATCACCTCAAAACCCCAGAGACCCCGAGGACTGAGTCAGCAGCTGGACCCTCCCTGCCTAAGAGCCACAGCGGAGACTTGGTTAAGGCCACAGGCGGCGGCTGCTGCTGCTGCGGCTGAAGTCTTGTTAGAGAAGCTTACAGGACCCGGGACTCCTCTCTAAGTCCACAGCGACGGAGGTCCCATTTTACCGGCCAGGCGCTTCAACCACCTGTGCTGTTTGACCAATTTTACAACACTTTTATGGAGCTTACCACCCTCAGTCCTCAGGTTTAGTCGAACATCCTCATTTTATTAAGATTCAATTGGCAAAATGTGGAGAAGCCCTCCCAACAGCTTGGCCGAAGGCATAGCTGTTGGTTCTTTTAAATCTGAGATCTACCCCCTTTGGGCTCCGGGGCTCTCACCGTGTGAGATAATTATAGGACACCCCCTGCCTCTGGCTCCGCTGCTGTTGACTCACAGTGGATAAAGAGAGCCACACATTTGCATACTGCAAGGCCTAATGGCTGCTAGTGGAAATCACCATGCTTTGGTTGAGCGATTTTTTTTTTCCTCATTGGAGGACATTTTTTCGTTTTTTGTTCAGGTAGATTGGGAGGGAGAGAGAGGAACAGAGAGAGAGAGAAACATCGATGTGAAAGGGACACATTGACTGGCTGCCACCTGCACGACCAACCAGGGCCGGGGACAAACTGCCACTGAGGTACATGCCCCTAGCGGGAACCAAACACGGGTCTCTCTGGACCACAGGCCAACATTGAGCCATCTTTTTATAGCACGCTCCAAGGAGATGAAACCCCCAGACCCACATTCTACAACCTGGGAATTTGGTTTACTGGCAAAGACACCTCCATGAAGACTTCCTCCAGCCTCACTGGGAGGACCTCGTCAGGTGCTGCGGACTAACCTTGCGTTGCTCAGGTCCAGGGAGTAGACTCCTGGAGACACGTGTCCCGTCTTAAGAAGGTTCCAAACCCTGATCAGACCTGCACACAGTCTGGTGACCTGAAGCTAAAGCAGTCAAAAGCCGAGCATGCGGCCTCTGAGAGAGAACCTTCCTGAAACCACCAGACCGGGCCTGTACTCTTTACTATTCATCTTACTTCATTTATCTCTCTTTCTTGGAAGGGACACACCTTTGTTTACCTTTTCTAATCTATTGTGAAAGTGGGAAACTTCCCCAGTTATTGAGTCTGTGCTCAAGAACTTGAATCTGGCTAAGATACAGAGCCACTGAGAAAGGATGGGGCTGGGGGGGGTCCGGAACTCCTGGGATGAGATTGATACGTGAGGGACAAGACTGGGCTGGTTCTGCTCCCAGCGGAGGTCATTTGCATTTTCACAGGAGATCATTCACTTCACCAGTGGAAAAAAACATTTGCCACTTTATTATACAACAAGGCTCGCAGCTTAGCTTTCTGTGCGTTAACTTATGCCCTTACAAGAATAGGGAAATGGCCCTCGCCGGTTTGGTTCAGGGGTTAGAGTGTGGGCCTGCGGTCCGGAGAGACCCAGGTTCGGTTCCCGCTGAGGGCACTACCTCCGTTGCAGTTTGTCCCCGGCCCTGGTTGGGTCGTGTGGGTGGCAACCACTCCATGTGTCCCTTTCACGTCAATATTTCTCTCTCTCTCTCCCTCCCACTCTATCTGAACAAAATATTAAGAAAAAAATGTCCTCAGTTGAGGATAAAAAAAATAAAGTAGAGAAATACCCTAATTGTAAATAGTCAAAGTTACTGGAGTCCAAAGACCCTTGGGGGCTTCTCTGTTGGTGCTTTAGCATCATCAAGGCCTGGGGCATGTTTTCTGCTTTGAAGTTCTGGCTTTTAACCGGAAGATCTGGTCTGCTGTTGAATAGTCACCGTATGAGGTCCTGCACTGAAGCTTGGAAAGTGTCTGGGATTCACCTCAGGTGACATTTGATTTCTTGACCCCACACCCTCCAACTCTAGTCACCGGTAGGTTCCTGTCTTTTGTTACCCTACACCCTGCGGTCTCTGCACTCAGCACTCTGTATCATCGTTGTGAAAGTGACTACCTCCCCTTTCGACGCCAGGCATAGTTTTCTTAATTACCCTACTGGCTCAGGCTCTGGTACATCTTACAAATTCAATAAATGCTTGTTGAATAACTAACTGCGGAAAGAGGTGGGATCCGAGCCAGGACGGGAAGAACATGTGGTGGGTGCGAGGCGGTGGGCCGGAGAGAGGCTCACAGAGGTTAAGGACACCTTACACTCAGCGGCCCGGGGTGGGGTGGGGATGGGGACTTCAATGCGGTGCCCATTTGGGTGACGTCCTGGCCAGGCCAGGGCAAGAGGGAGCCGTTATAAAAAGCCCTCACAAAAGTGAGAAGCGTGGTGCAGGGAGCCTGCCGCTGGCAGCCGGCCTCCTGCGTCCTTGGGGTGTCCTTGCCATCGCGTGCGGGCAGGGCGCAGGGCCCCTCGGTCCGCAGGAATCAGAGAGGGAAGAACCGGGAGGCCCGGGGCGCAGGAAGGAGCGATGGGTTCAGGAACAACCAGCTCCCTCCAGAACGAACCACGCCCCGTGGATACTGTGCTCCTTTGAAAAGCTTTGTCGAGTTGATTCCGGGGTGACCGGACGGCCTCCCCGGACGGAGGCGACCCCTGGCAGCTCCGCTCGCGGGCCCGGTGGGTCGCCGCCGAGCGCCCCCGGCCGGGCTCCAGGTGTCCGCGGGCGCGCGCCCCAGCGCGTTCCGGCCGAGGGCGGGGCGCGGGGCGGAGCGCGGCGAGGGCGGCCGGTCCCGGTCCCCGCCCGCCGCCGGCCTGTGGCCCAGCGCGGGGGACGTGCGGCTGTCCCGCGCCTGCGACGAGCGCCGGGCGCGCCGGGAGAGGACGCGGAGCCATGAGCCGCCTGCCCCCGGGCGCGGCGCTGCTGCTGGCGCTGCTGGTGGAGGTAGGGCCGGGCCGGGCCGCGCCGGGGCGCCCACCCCAGGCGCCGGGCAGCGCGAACAATGCGGGGCCAGGCGGGCGCAGCACGGAGACGCCCCGGAGACCCTCCGCGAGAACCGAGGGGTCGAGTGGCCGAGCGCCGCTGCCTCCTGCTCCGGCATTTGTCCGGGTGCTGGGACGTGTAGGGACCCCGGTGACAGGGAGGCTCCCCCCGCCTCCCCCCGCCTCCCCCCGCCTCCCCTTCGGTCCCCACCCAACCCCGCCCCCAACCCCGGGGGTGCTTGTTTCTCTGGCTTCCAGCGCCCGCCCGGGTCACCCAGGAGAGACCTTTCCGCGCAACACTCCCCCTGTCCCCTCCCCCGAGGGGACCCGGATCCCGTGGAGCGGGGACCTTAAGGAGGGAGTCCCAGGAGTGGCGCAGGCGCAGAGAGTCAGGGTGGGTGGGCCGCGGGAGGGTCGCGGTGCGAGTTTTGAGAAAATGTCACGGGGTGCCGGGGAGATGGTGGGGGGCGGCTGGAGGGAGCACTGTGCGGGTGCAAGCGACGAGCAGGGGCTCCCGTGCGCGGGCAGCGTCCCCCGGGAGCTGGGGCGGGGGTGCGGCTGGATCCAGAGGGAACTTGGGGAAGGATGGAGGGTGGGAGCACCTGGCGACCGCCGCCTTCGTGGGGACCTGGCTGTCCCGGTGGCATCCTCTGATGCGTGGCCACCCCCTTGCTGAAGTGGGTTCTTCAACACGTGAGCTAGTGGCATTCCCGGGTGTTGAGTCTGAATTAGGGCTCCTTCCAACTCTGCTCAACTTCCTTATTTTGAAGGAATATTTGCATGGAATTAATGAAGTCGAGGTAAATGGGTAATGAGTAACTCATGCCTCTGTCTTTGATATTGTAGAGGGTTGTCAAACTGTTTAATAGTTGGGTGTTAAGGCTGGAACAGACTACTAGGTTTTCTGAACTTAGTAAGAAATAAATGTTACAGGGCGTTGGGAGGGGAAGTCTCGGCTGGCTTGCAAGGGACATTAATGGAAAGTTTCTTGCCCCAGGCGTGGCCACAGGAAGGACTTGGAATTCTTGGTATCTCCCTGACTTGGTCCTTTACGGTCTTCCTGGAGGACTCCCCATCGGCATTCTTTCCATTGGTTCAGAATTTGAGAACCTTAGGAGTAAAGTCCCCCGGGTGAGTCACTGACCAGAAGAGAAACAGGACTCAGACCACTATCAAAGAACCCAAGCCTCTGACCCTCCTCGTGCAGTGGCCACACCCACCCCCTTTCAAAGTCAGCGCTGGGTGAAAATCCAGCCTTCTGTTGGTTCCGCTTCTGCGGGGCATCAGGGACTCGGTTCTTTCCAAAGTAGCTGTTTTTGTTGCATCGGGATTTCTCATCTTAACAGAGTTCAGATCATATCTAAAGGTTGACAGACCTTGAAAGCAGAACTAGCCCAACATTAAAACCTAAATGACTCACTGACCTTTCCCCAAGTCGGGTAGCCAGCTGATGGGTAGTTTTTGTTTTCAACAGGCTGGTGTGGGGTAGCCCACTTTTACATGGTGATTATCCTAAGGCGTCTCCGCGGAATCCAGGAGATTTCTTGATGCTTCATCACATGGAATTTTATACGGGAGAGCTGGCTCTGAGCCGCTTTCCCCTTCAGTTGGTCGCTCTGGATTTTGTCTACACAAACGAGCCATTGCAGTTGCTCTGTGTGTGGGGGCGCAAAGGGCTTTCTGGTATTTGAGGGCACGAAACAATTGACGGAGATATTTGATGGCTCCTACAGCCAGCTGCAGCCTGGGAGATTTGTCTTTGTCTCTTTGTTCGGCCTGAGCTGCTTTCATTGTAGTTGCCAGTTGATCGTAAACCACCTGGAATGAGGTTCCCTGGTGACAGTGGCTGTCCCAGGCTGGCCCTCCAGCACCCTGTTCCGAGCTGGTACCATCCAGAGGAAATCTCAAAGCTCTTTGGAGAAGCCCCCCACCCTCCATCTCTTTGTAGAAATTCCGGCACCTGTTAGACATAAAGACTGCGTATTTGTTTCTGAACTCGGCAAACTCTTCTGAGTGCTTCTTCTCCGTCAGGCATTGTTCTGGGCACTTGACAAATATCAACTCACTGATCCTCTTGGCAGTTACTCTTCTCCCCGTTTTTATTTCCAATGGGAGGGGTTGAAGAGCTTGTCCAGAGGGTCACGGCTGGCGCGGGGGCTCCGCCTGCCTGCTGCCTCTCCCAGCTCACGTGCACGCGGAGATTGCTCCCCCACAGTGTGTCCCCAGGCGGATGGTGGAGCTGGGGAGGTATTCGTCCCATCACACAGGGAATCCAGCAACGTGGCCTGTGGGAACAGTCACAGGCCTTAGCATCCAGCTCAGGACGCCTTGGAGGGGGAAATGGAGGCCGTGTGCCTCCAGGCTTCTAGACGGTCAGCCCGGGCTGCACGCGCGCCCTGACCCAGACGGGGCTGTAAGCAGGCGGCCGGAACAGCACCCTCCTCCCTGGGAGGCTTCTTGTGAGCTCATTACTGAGGTGACCTTTCCTTTGTGTTAACTTGGAGTTTCCTGTGACTTCTTGTGACTTGCAGGAGAAGCCAGTGAGGGCCCTTATTTCCTCTCTCCCCTCCCCCAGCCACTCTGCCCGCTGCTGGGTCCCAAGCACCAGGCCGTGAATGTGGCCATGAAAAGGGGGAACCCCAAAGCCCTTCTGCATCATAAAGTTCTGTGCTTCTGTGAGGTCCTGGACCCGTGGCTCCCAGCATTCCTGGGAAGTGATGCCCAGCTTCTTCCCTGTTCTGCAGCAGCTCCTTAGAAATGGAAAGGAAAAGTCCTGGCCGGTTTGGCTCAGCGGTTAGAGCGTCGGCCTGGGGTCCAGAGAGACCTGGGTTCGGTTCCCGCTAAGGGCATGTACCTCGGTTGCAGTTTGTCCCCGGCCCTGGTTGGGTCGTGTGGGTGGCAGCCACTCGATGTGTCCCTTTCACGTGGATGTTTCTCCCCACCCCCACTCTATCTGAACAAACAATGAAAAAAATGTCCTCAAGGGAGGATACAAAAAAAAGAAATGGAAAGGAAAAAAAAAAGAGGTTTCAGACCTGACTGTGCTTTAGTTGAACTTGGGGAGCAGGCCCCAGGCATATGTACCTCCCAGGGGCTTTCCCACCAAGTGTTTGGTTTCCTAGATACCGTCGCTGCAATACCCTCCTGCTAGAGGTCGCTGTGGGAGCTGCTGCAATAGACTTGGTAGCTTTTGTCCGAAGGGCTCTGTCCTTACTGACCAGCCCAGAAATGGGGGCCGTACTCCTCGGCATCAAAGCTCCCAGGGGAGGGCTTGCTGCACCGCTCACCGGGGGATGGACCCTGCTCCGCTACTTTATTCCAGGGCCTGGCATCCGTGTCTTTTTTTATTCTCCCTGGAACGAGGGCCTCGAAGCGAGGCCGCCATGTGTTTCAAAGCCGTTCTGGCAAAAGGACAGCCCTCCTTGGGCTAGAGAAAGGGGTGGTCTTCTCTTAGAGAGGGTTGGAAAGTGAACATTGTCTTTGAAAACGGGGGAAAGGAAGAGGACGAATTAGTATTTTTATAGAGCCCTGTGTATGTTGACACCCAAGAGTCTCGAAATCAGAACCAAGTCATGTTTTGGAGTGATTTTGTGTGTTTTTCTGTTTTGTCTGGTGCCAAATGTTTTTCGTGCCCTGGGATTGCAGTGAATATGGCAGCCCGCTGGGTGCCAATTTTCTGGAATAATCCTTTTCAACCCTCCCACTCTGTAGAGTTTTTAGAATCTGGGCAACATGTAATTTGAATGGAAAAGAGGAGAGTAGAGAGTTGCTCTCGGGAGGCTCCGTGGGAGGCGGGGCGCCTGGAGGAGAGGTGTGATGAATGAACAGGTGGAATGTGGGGAAATCTGGCTGTAGGTGTGCCAGGAACCCAGGACGACAAGCCTCATGCCCAGGCTTGGGCTCTTACTGGCTGTAGAAGTACATGGATTAGACGGGTAGCCACTCGGTCTCTCTGGCCGTGATAGCAAGTCATTCTCCTGGTGATCTGTTCCCCATGAGGCCACTAAGATGTCACCCTCCCAATCAGCGTGTCTTGCCCACCCTGTACACAATTCCAACCCCACCCCCCTTGCTCTGACCAGTTCCCTCCCTGCTCCATATCTCTTACCTTCACAGGTTTATTTTCTATCATCTAAGCATTACAGGGGCAAAGGTTTTGCTCTGTTTTTTGTTGTTGTTGATGTTGTTAATCCTCACTTGAGGATATTTTCCCCGTTGATTTGTAGATAGAGTGGAAGGGAGGGAAAGAGACAGAGAGAGAAAGAAAGAGAAACATTGATGTGAGAGAGACACATCCATTGGTTGCCTCAGGCTGACACCCTAACTATTGAACCAAACCCACCAGGGCTTGCTCCATTTTCTTTTTTTTTATCCTCACCCGAGGACACTTTTGCCATCTTCAGATAGAGTGGGAGGGAGGAAGAGAGAGAGAGAAACATCAATGTGAGAGAGACACATCGACTGGCTGCTACCCACACGACCCCATTTGGGGCTGGGGACAAACTGCAACCGAGGTACGTGCCCTTAACAGGAACCGAACTCAGGACTCTCTGGTCTGCGGGCTGACGCTCTAACCGCTGAGCCAAACAGGCTAGGACTTGCTCCGTTTTCTTAAGTGAAATATCCCCAGCTCCTAGAAACAGTGTTTGAGACAGCCTGGGCCTCAGTAAATATCTGGGAGTCAGTAGATCTGTGGGTGATGGCCCTGGGGAAGGAGCTAGGTGGTTCTGTTGTAGGAGAGGACTAGTTGATTCGCTGTGGTCTTGGAAGGGGGCCCCCTGTGCTAGGACTTCGAGGTCGTCCTTGTCTGAACACTTCCTCGTGAGGGAAAGTCACATCTTTCAAAACAAAGCATCATCTTTTTGGACAACTTCAGTTGCTCAAGTCTTCTGTTATATCGAGGAGAAACGACTATTTTTGCCTGGTCCTAGTTTTGTCCTTCTGAGCTTTCCTGAAAAAGTA